CTAGTTGACTCTTTGGGCTGAGAGCTGATTGGCTGAGTGAGGGTGGTCCACTCTTTTTCACTTTTCTGCCTGAAAAATCTGATCTGAAGATGTGACCGAATCTAAAATCCATGCATGTGAAAACTAGTGATGTTTAAAGAAGTAGTGACATGTATCTTATTGTGGTTGGAAAAGTTACGTACTCCAGCTTTAAGTACACACAACAGCTTGTACGTTCATACTTTTACTTAAATGAATGAGTTTTACTTTTACCAGAGGTGATTTGTATGATGTTTTTGCACTATTAAGCAGGAGTTACGTGAAGTTAGAATCTGTACGTAACCTTTACGGTCTATGAGCGCCTCATCCTTATTTTAACGCCACTTTTACGACAACGCTCCAGTTCTTGAAGTAAATCACTACAAAAAGTAAAATAAACATGTCACACATTCGCATTGTCATGTTTTGAATCTATAATTAATGATTCATTCGAATTGTGCGTGGCTCGTTGGTCTAGGGGTATGATTCTCGCTTTGGGTGCGAGAGGTCCCGGGTTCAAATCCCGGACGAGCCCTTAATATTTTTTGTCTTTTACCCCAAAACAACATCAAAATACATGTCAAACTAACAAACAAACACGTGACCACTGAAAACTTTAGTAATCACTTTGATAGCGTGCTTAAATGAATGTTCAATGCTTCAATAGCGAAACTTATGAGTGTTTTTTTATGTGTTCTGAGGTGAGTAGATTTTAGAGAAAACACAAAGATTGTGTTATATAATTATATATTGTGATGTCATGTTTATATACACACATAATAAACAGTATAGAACAAACACACTATTTGCTGTCGTGGCTTTTGGACAAAACTATGCAACAGGTTTCTTTCATAGACTGTTTGTTTCTACCCCCACCTGGCTTTACTCAGAGGAGATTAAAGTGAACTTCAATTATAGTCCATTTGGAAACAAAGAGATATTTTAGAATACGCCTCCCCAGTGAAATTTGCAGGAGGAGAACAGTTGGACCTGGAGCCTATGTTCTGATGGAAAGTTTTTTTATCGGGACAAAAACTTCAGAATACAAGTCCTTTAAGCGATTCAAAAATCCATTGAAGTGCTCAAAGGGGTGACATTGTATTGCCTATAGGTACAAAGTAAACAGAAGTGACTCATATATAGAGTTTAATTCAACACTGTTTCAGATCATATTTGGATTCTTCAGAGTAAATTTGAAAATGGCTCTGGTCAGAGTGACATTTTTATAGTTTTTATACTCAATATTGTGTTAAATAGATGTTAAATGATTCTGATTCTGATGGGAAATAGATCACAAAAACGCCGATTTGTCACTGTGTGTCTGCAGATTTTCGTATTCACTCCACTGATATATTTTCAGAGTAAAGTTGCTTGATCTGGGTTAAAACCACTTTACTCTGAAATATGAACACCCCATGTCTTACTGTGTATTTAACTGTAACCAATTTAAAATCCATTTAGCTCGAACAGTATTGCACTTTGCTCACACAGTTTATCTCCTGGATAAATATAATAAACAATGTATTTCAAACTCTTCTCATTAACATTCACAGAGAAAGTCAAAGTCATGAAGGAGCTTAGGCCAAATAATTACTTTTATTGAACATGAATTTGATATATTTTAACATATTTCCATGAACAAACTGAGTCCAGCTCCTGTGAAACAAAACGGGACAAAAAGCAGTGAAGCTTCGTGTTGTGGACTGAGTTGAATAAAGTTAACTTTATATTATTGCTTGCTGCAGGGTTCAAAGTTTATGGTCAAATAAAAATGCTGTATTTTTTGGATATTTTATTGTATGTAATAATACGTATTTTTATAATAACTCAAAGGAACTATACCTGATTTATTTTCTCTTAACACATCATCACAGACTCTCAGTAGGGGCCGCACTGACTTTACTGTCCACTAGGGGGCAGCGTGTTTGAGACTAGCGCCAAAGACTTTTACCACCTCTGCGCAGTGTGATACAAAACAACAATCCAACAGCGTCACAAAAAAAAAGAGTTCTTTATTGCATTTAGGTTTCACACAAACAAAAGCACTGGTGGCAGAGGAGCACGTCCCCATCTGCAGGATATATTTATGTTCAAGGATACATAGTGTCGACAGCAGCAGCGGTCACAGAGATCAGAGGTAGAGCAAAACCAGCGCCTGCTTCCTTTAAAAATATATACAGTATAAATATGATACACAGAGAGCAGCTTTAATGTGCTTTCCCTAACCATGAAGATGTAGCGACAGCCAAAACTATAACACTATTTTAAAGTAGCAATATGTAAGATTTTCATGTCAAGTCATCTTAAAGGGCCCTAATCTGTCAAAAGGCATGAATGAAACATGATCTTTTCAAATACTTCTTTAACTGGTAACAGTAGTTCAGAGATATTTGGATTTCAAAATGAGTTTTACAGCCGCTAAATCTTGTTACTGTTTTCATTATGATGTCCCGCTCTCCACCGTTTCACCAATCAGAAAGTCCGTGATCTGGTAAAGTAACATGTGGCCGCAGAACTAAAATAGGACAAAACAAGGATTAAAATCAGGATTTCTATCTTTGTGCAAAAGGTGTTGGTTATAGATTTGTTGTTGCCAAAACTCTCGTCAATTCAGATATTATGGTTCCAGCTGGATTCGTCTGCATATCTGGCAACCTGAGTCAGGGAGAGTGGGAGAGGCTGCAGTACCACTTTTTTTTAACATACTGCTCCTTTAAACCATGGACTGTATACAAGGAGTGGACTGAGCAAGTGTGACATCACCACAGTGTTAGTTTTAATGCGGAAGAAGCAAGCTCCGGCCAAACGTGTAAATATAACGTTTTTACTCTTTAAACTTTAGTTCTTACGGTTGTGTTAACGCCTTTACTGTTAAGTTCCAATCGTCTAAATGTACAAGGTGCAAGTCCGTATTTGCTTTTGTCCATATAAAGTTTAGAAAAAAATTAGTGTAATATCTGGAAACATAAGACACTTCAGATTACTGGCAATATTTAAATCTGGGGAACGTACATTTAGAACTAGTTTGGATCTTTTTAACACTTCTGAAGGATTTTTGGTCAAACCTAAGCTTGTCATTCTAACACTTTACAGAAGCCAGTAATTTTCCACTTTTGGTCTGAAGTTGGTGCCGTAGCAGATGCTCAGAGGAGGACCTTGATTCCTCTGGTTTTAAATCACAAAAAACAAAATAAAATAACATTTCTTCTTCTGCTGTGACACTCGACCCCAGACCTCGGCATCTGTTCTATTTTTGACACTATGTAACATACGGCAAAATCCATGGCGCTAGATCTGGCTCCGAACCAGTTTGCTTCTATCACTAATTTCATGAATTGTAGCCTCTGTCAAATCTTTAGATCAGATTTTTCAGACAGAAAACTAAAAAAAGAAAGGACCACCCTTATCAGCCAATCAGCTCTCACGGTTTTCTTTCTTTGTAACAAATACCTCTGTTGGGATTTAGCGCTGTACAAAAATAAATGGAATTGAAAATTGCGTCATGGTCTGATTTTTCCACTGTCTTTTTGACTTTTATACGGCGCTTTCTGTTGGCACATATAATATTTACGTAAAAAGGAAAGTCAGGTACCCCAGCTTTAAAGCCACAATCTCCCCAATATAAGATTTCACACATCATAAACAGAGATGAAGGTGGGAGCGGACATAAAAAATAAAAAAACTCAACCAATTCTTTATTCCAGTCACTTTCTTCCCACAATTCTTATTCTTTCTTAAAAATTCACTCATTAATAACATGGAGGATTCATAACATTGCTTCGTCGCTGTGTTTTTCAGATCACATGTAAACAGGAAAAGTCCCACAATGAAGTGGCCATGTTGTTATTACCCAGTCTCCCCCATGTTGTTCTTACTCAACAACATTAACTTTAAACTCAAACATTGCAGACATAAACATAATAATGCACTTTGCTCCTCAGTAATAAATGACACTATACATAAGTGCTGCTGTTAAAGGGCACGTCTGCTGCTGCATGAGCCTTTAACCACGTTTCAAGCACTGGCGTAAAGTCGGGTGTGTGCGTGATGGAGGTCGGAGGGGCCAACGTCATCCTCAGTCCTGGGTCTACAGCCTCAGTCCTGGGTCTACAATACAATGAGCCACAAATGAACTGCAAGCCATAAAGATACTGTCATTAGCCATTAAGATGCTAATGTTAGCTGTAAAGATGCTACAAGGACAGCATGTTTATATATTAGAATCACATGCCGTTTCGTTTATTTTCTTTAATATAATTGCACCATGGGCCAAAGCAAATTCCTGATTTGTGAATTCCTGTTCCCCTACAATGTCAATTAAAACATCTGACTCAAATGCTCGCTGCACGATGCTAACTTAGCTGTCAATCTCTCATGTCCATCTTCCACATGAGCAATGAGAACTCACTGACCTATAATGAGAATAAATATTTAGGTTAAAACAAATAAATAAAAGGATTTCCACCCAGAGTCAAGTGACCCTTTTTTGCAGAAGGACTGGCGCCCCCTGCTGGAGCACACCAGCAGAGCAGGCCGTCACACACACATAGTAATGATATTAGCCGGGTTAGAGTCTTGAACCAGTTGTCAGGCTTGGATTCAGGTCGGGTTCAAGCACGCACACACACACACACACACTCACATACACGTACAGACACACACTTAAACACAACTGCGCACAGACAGACACATACCCACACAAACACACATCCCCTTTAAATGCTCTCATGGCCGCGTACCTCAGGCTACTTCCACTTGTCCTAAATAAAAGCATAGCAATGTTTTCTTACTTTAAGATTTTTTTGACGTTTCTCACAACCTTTGAAAGTCACTTACAGCCCGCTCCGTTTAAAACATGGTTAAAAGCTCAAAAAGACATCTCCTTTAATCTCCCTGTTATCTCCTCCACACACTCCTCAGGTCCGTCCTCTGTAACCGTGTCTAAAGTGCAGCCTCCACACAGTCCGTAGGGGGCGCTGTCCTCAGAGCACCTTCTGCAGGATGGAGTTGGGCACCTCCAGCGTCTCGTCTCGCACCAGGACGATGTCGTAGTGCTCCAGGTATTTGTCCAGACGCTCCTCCACCTGCAGCACAACCACACTCACCACTCACTCTGCGGGCGATGGAGAGAGGAGAGAAGAGGAGAGGGAGTGGAGGAGAGAGGAGGAGAGGAGAGAGGAGAGGAGAGGAGGGAGAGAGGAGAGGAGAGAGAGAGGAGAGGAGAGGAGGGAGAGAGGAGAGGAGAGAGAGAGGAGAGGGAGTGGAGGAGAGGAGGAGAGGAGAGAGGGGAGAGAGGGAGAACAGGAGAGAGGAGAGGAGAGGAAGAAAGAGAGAACAGGAGAGAGGAGAGGAGAGAGAGCATGAGAAAGGAGGAGATTAGAGGAGGAGGGGAGAGGGAGCAGACGAAAGGAGGAGAGGAGAGGGGGAGGAGAGAGAAGAGGAGAGGAGAAGACAGGGGCAGAGGAAAGGAGAGAGGGGGAGATAGGAGGAGAGAGAGCATGAGAGAGGAGTAGAGGAGAGAAAGAACATGAGAGAGGAGGAGGAAGAGCGGAGAGAGACAGGAAAAAGGAGGAGAGGGGGGAGGAGGCAAGGGGAGGAAAAGAGAGAGCAGGGGAGAGAGAAAGGAGATGTGAGGAGATGAAGAGAGGAGAGGGAGAGAGAGAGGGGCAGAGAAAAGGTGAGAGAGGGGGAGAGGAGTCTCGAGAGAGAAAAAGAGAGAAAGAGGGGGCAGAGGAGGAAAAATGAGAGAAGGAGAGGGGCAGAGGAAAGGACATATAGAGAGAGAAGAGAGAGGAGAAGAGGAAGAGAACGAGCAGGGGAGAGAGAGCAGAAGGGAAGGAGCGGTGGTAGAGCAGAGAGGAGAAGAGAGGAAGAGAGGATGAGAAAGAGGGAGAGAGGAGGAGTCCCAGCGGGTACCTTGTCGTTGAGGAAGCCGATCTTGAGGATGTGGTCGACGTTGGCCACGCCGTCGGCCATGCTGAGGTCCCCCAGAGAGTCCCCCATCAGCAGCACGTTCCCGTTCTCCTTCAGCTGCTTGAAGTACTCACTGTTCCTCAGGGCGCCGTCGTGTTTGTTGTACACGTGGATCAGCTCGCCTTTGAAGCCGCGGATCACCCCCTGAACACACACACACAGACAAACGCACACACGCGCACGCACACACAGACACACACGCACACATAGACACACACGCACACACACAGACACACACACACAGACATACACACAGGCACACACACAGGCACACAGACAAACGCACACACGCGCACGCACACACAGACACACACACGCACACACAGACACACACACAGACATACACACAGACACACGCACACACACACACACACACGCACGCGCACGCACACACAGACACACACACACGCACACACACAGACACACACACACGCACACACACAGACACACACACACACACACACACGCAAACACACACACACACACACACACACACACACACACACGCACACACAGACACACACACACACACGCACACACACACACACAGACACACACGCACACAGACACACACACACAGACACACACACACAAACACACACACACACACACACACACAGACACACACAAACACACGCACACACAGACACACACAAACACACGCACACACAAAAAACAGTCTGAATTTAGACTTGGTGTAAACAAGCACGGTTACTTTTAGTGTATCACATTCACCGCCGAACAAAAACCAGCTGACTCCTGACGTCAGCGACACCTACCTACCTAAGTTTAGGTCACACAATCCAATCCAGTCCACTTTATTTATATAGCACCTTTTATAAAACAAGTTTCCAAAGTGCTGCATAGAGATAAGATGAGTGAGATCTTGTCTTTGCTTCTATAAGATGTAAGATATTTTTCTGGGACCATTAGCCATTTGTAAAACTCGTCCGTATGCACTCGTGAAGGCAGAATATCTGGATGAGACGATATCAAAATAAAAACACCAGGATCACAGAGATTTGTCAATCCAAAATGCAGATGGAAGCTAAACCTTCCTTTTAGCCTTACAGAGGTACAGGTTAGCATTGTCCATGTACTGTATGAATAGGTCTATGAGTGCAGTGTGAGTTCTGATCAGGAGGTGTTTAAAGTGCCGGCTGGGGCTCACGTTGTCGTCGAAGTCCATGAAGTTGGAGAGCACTTTGACGTTGGGCAGGTAGACCCCGGCCTGCCGCAGGATCTCCTCCAGGACGTCCCCCAGCCCCGCGGAGAAGATGAACACGGGGACGTTGTGCTGATGCAGGCGTGAGAAAAACTGCTCGTATCCATCTCTGCACCAGGAGACATTCAAATGAATTTGGATGCAGACACTTTCCACTTTTTGTTCTGACTCGAGGAGAAAGCAGTAAAATATCAAGTATTTAAACTAGCGCTGTCAGTTAAACGCCTTGATAACGGTGATAACGCAAACTTATTTTAATGGTGTCCATATTTTTATTGCGCAATAATGCAAGTATGAATTTATGACAGAAAGCCGGGACTGAGGTACAACAGTCTTGGAAAGACATGAGGAGAACATGCAAACTCCACACAGAAAGGCCTGATGGTCTGGAGGTCAAGTCGAGGCTAACCACTCCGCCACTGGAGCTATAGTTATTCCCACTGCGGTGATGTCACATACACTGTTTTTTACGGGCAGTTTGATGGTTTTTTTTTTTCTGTGTTCAATATTTCTATTCTCTATAAACAGCAAAAACAAAAGCAGAGAGTGAGAAGTTAGACAAATACCGTCTTTCTGGAGCTTCATCAAATCCATTTTCAAACCAAATCAAGGAACGTTTAGAACGTCATGATTCAATATTGTAGATGTTTGACACTAATTTAAACGTCTTGTGTGAGTGTGGGCCTCACCGCAGCGCTGCGTCGGAGTCGCGCACGGCCTGGGGCAGTTTGTCCTTCTGTATGCGCTGCTCCACCAGCAGAGAGTGAGACTTAAAATACCTGCACACAATATAAATACACACATCTACATCAACAGACTGTGGAACACAGGTCACACATGTGCCTGATGCTTCACCCGCTGTCTCATGGTCTCATGGTCTCATGGTCTAAGGATGGGACCCTGAACCCGCCTCCTCCCTCTGCACCTGTGGACTCTCCTCCCCGGCTCGACTCGTGGACTGCACCCCCTCCTCAGTCTTGGATCATGTGTGTGTGTGTGTGTGTGTGTGTACCATTCCACCATGAAGGGGAACTTGTCCTCCATGCTGAGCTGTGGGTCGATCTCGATGGGATAGTACTGGTTCTTCAGCTGCACCAACTTCTGCCGACACTCGTCTGTGACGAGCTGTGAGTAGTCGATGATATCTGCACAGACAAAGAGGAGGATTAGACCTGCTTTAGACCGGCTTAAGTCTTGCTAAAAGGTACATAGGAAGATTTTCTACTTCCAGGTGGATCATCAAGACTATTGGTTCTCGTAATTGTCAATCATTCTGGTCATACATGCTCGTCAAATAAGACCAGATAGTTGTGTTCAAAAAGTGGAGAGGGCGGTTCTTTCCTAAAATTTGGGAAAATACAGATACAGTACATCTTTAAGTCTTGATTTAGTCCTGCTTTAGTTCCTACTTCAGACCCTTTTCTGGTCTAGAGTCTTAGTCCAGTTCGGGTCTCGGCCTCGGTCTCTGCCTCGGTCTCGGCCTCGGTCTCTGCCTCGGTCTCGGCCTCGGTCTCGGCCTCGGTCTCGGCCTCGGTCTCGGTCTCGGTCTCTTACTGTGGCAGGTGGGGCAGCGTTTTCCATTGACTTGAAACTTGGATAACGTCATGTCGAAGTCTGTGATGATCTGAGGAGCACAAGGACGACAACACTTTACTTCAATTAGAAGGTTTGCCTCTCTCTGGTCTCTCTCTCTCTCGGGTCTCGGTCCCTCTGGTCTCTCTCTCTCTGGTCTCTCTCTCTCGCTCTCTGGTCTCGGTCCTTCTAGTCTCTCTCTCTCTCTCTCTGGTCTCTCTCTCTCTGGTCTCGGTCCTTCTAGTCTCTCTCTCTCTGGTCTCGCTCTCTCTCTGGTCTCGGTCCTTCTAGTCTCTCTCTCTCTCTCTCTGGTCTCGGTCCTTCTAGTCTCTCTCTCTCTCTCTCTCTCTGGTCTCTCTCTCTCTCTCTGGTCTCGGTCCTTCTAGTCCTCTCTCTCTCTCTCTGGTCTCTCTTTCTTACAGTCTGAGGTGTGTTTTTTCAATTTTTTTTAACTATTCCTACCAAATAAACAATAAACGCTCTCTGGTCTCTCTGGTCAAAACACTGAAGACTGGTAGTCCGGTCCTAGTCTGGTCCATGTCCTGGTCTGACCTGCAGTTTGCTGGCCCCTCCTTTGATGAGGCCACAGGTGATCTGCTCCACTCGCTCGGGGTCCTTCATGTGGACCGTGGACTTCTCGAACTGTGGCATCTGCACACACACAAACACAGGGGAAACATCACGCTCCCAGCATCTACACGCACAAACACACACACACACTCTCTCTGGTCTCGGTCCCTCTGGTCTCGGTCTCTCTGGTCTCTGTCTCTCTGGTCTTGGTCCCTCTGGTCTCTCTCTCTCTGGTCTCGGTCCCTCTGGTCTCTCTCTCTCTCTGGTCTCGGTCCCTCTGGTTTCTCTCTCTCTCTGGTCTCGGTCCCTCTGGTTTCTCTCTCTCTCTGGTCTCGGTCCCTCTGGTCTCTCTCTCTCTGGTCTTGGTCCCTCTGGTCTCTCTCTCTCTGGTCTCGGTCCCTCTGGTCTCTCTCTCTCTCTGGTCTCGGTCCCTCTGGTCTCTCTCTCTCTGGTCTTGGTCCCTCTGGTCTCTCTCTCTCTGGTCTCGGTCCCTCTGGTCTCTCTCTCTCTCTGGTCTCGGTCCCTCTGGTTTCTCTCTCTCTCTCTCTGGTCTCGGTCCCTCTGGTCTCTCTCTCTCTCTGGTCTCGGTCCCTCTGGTCTCTCTCTCTGGTCTCGGTCCCTCTGGTCTCTCTCTCTCTGGTCTCGGTCCCTCTGGTTTCTCTCTCTCTCTCTGGTCTCGGTCCCTCTGGTCTGGTCTCGGTCCCTCTGGTCTCTCTCTCTCTGGTCTCGGTCCCTCTGGTTTCTCTCTCTCTCTCTGGTCTCGGTCCCTCTGGTCTCTCTCTGGTCTCTCTGGTTTCTCTCTCTCTCTCTGGTCTCGCTCTCTGGTCTCTCTCTCTCTGGTCTCGGTCCCTCTGGTTTCTCTCCTCTTTCTCTCTGGTCTCGGTCCCTCTGGTCTCTCTCTCTCTCTGGTCTCGGTCCCTCTGGTCTCTCTCTCTCTCTGGTCTCGGTCTCTCTGGTCTCGGTCCCTCTGGTCTCTCTCTCTCTCTGGTCTCGGTCCCTCTGGTTTCTCTCTCTCTCTCTCTCTCTGGTCTCGGCCCCTCTGGTCTCTCTCTCTCTCTGGTCTCGGTCCCTCTGGTCTCTCTCTCTCTCTCTGGTCTCGCTCTCTCTCTGGTCTCGCTCTCTCTCTGGTCTCTCTCTCTCTCTGGTCTCGGTCCCTCTGGTTTCTCTCTCTCTCTCTGGTCTCGGCCCCTCTGGTCTCTCTCTCTCTCTGGTCTCGGTCCCTCTGGTCTCTCTTTCTCTCTGGTCTCGGTCCCTCTGGTTTCTCTCTCTCTCTCTCTGGTCTCGGTCCCTTTGGTCTCTCTCTCTCTCTGGTCTCTCTCTGGTCTCTCTCTCTCTCTGATCTCGGTCCCTCTGGTCTCTCTCTCTCTCTGGTCTCGGTCCCTCAGGTCTCCCTCTCTGTCTCTCTCTCTCTGGTTTCTCTCTCTCTGGTCTCGGTCCCTCTCTCTCTCTGGTTTCTCTCTCTCTCTCTCTGGTCTTGGTCCCCTCACAAACCACAGACCAGAGAATCAAACAGGAAATATAATAATAACAAACACATAAGAGGCAAATGACCAATGTCTATAATTGTTGATATATGTCCTGGATCATCACTGTCCTTAGAGAGGAACGACAACATAAAGTGAGAAACCCCAGAGAGGCCCACATTGAGAGAAAGGATCTGCTCCCACACGGACTGCTGTAGATCCAGGACTCGTGCTGTAGATTCAGGACTCAGGCTGTAGATCCAGGACTCGGGCTGTAGATCCAGGACTCGGGCTGTAGAACGAGGACTGAGGCTGTAACCTTCTGACAGTGGAGTCCTGACAGAACATTCCTCGGCTGCAGCTCTGTGTTGAAACATGATCTGACTCTTACTTAACCAGACTCACTCAGCACATTACGGCTAACTACTAGATACTAAACACAGGTCATTACCACTAGAACTCCCACAGCAGTCAGTTTGACCCCTTGTCGTTTTAGCAAGTGTAACGACACCGCTTATGTACGTTTGTGGTCTTCATAACTGTGGGAATGTTTCTGTTTTTAAATGTAGTTTATTTCTCTGTCATAAAAAAATTACCTCAATCCTAGACTGGTTTAGAGCAATCTCAGTTTGGAGCAAGTACTAGTTACCATAGCAACACATTGTTTACGTGCACCAGTTTTTGCATGTACTAGATGTCGAAACCCAATCCCGAGAATCAATCCAACAAACGTGTGCAATATTTATCCCCGATCAAAATGCCTGTATGGCGTTTAAAGCCTCCGAGACGGGGCCCCACCCGCCTGTCTGAGGGTGCGTTACATAATCACAGCTGGGAGTCTGCACCTCGTAAACACACGGATCCTGCCGTGAAGTGAAACCAGACTCCGGGTTATTATGGAAACTTCCAGACGCACTAGAAATGCACTGGGGATAAATAAACAAGCAATTTACAGCAGCGTCTCGGAGGACTGTCAGTCTCTCCCTCTCTGGTCTCTCTATCGCTCGCTGGTCCCTCCCTCGCTCTCTGGTCCGTCTCTCGCTCTCTGGTCTCTCTTGCTCTCTCGCCCTCTGGTCCGTCTCTCGCTCTCTGGTCTCTCTCGCTCTCTGGTCTCTCTCGCTCTCTGGTCTCTCTCGCTCTCTGGTCTCTCTCGCTCTCTGGTCTCTCTCGCTCTCTGGTCTCTCTCGCTCTCTGGTCTCTCTCGCTCTCTGGTCTCTCTCGCTCTCTGGTCTCTCGCTCTCTGGTCTCTCGCTCTCTGGTCTCTCGCTCTCTGGTCTCTCGCTCTCTGGTCTCTCGCTCTCTGGTCTCTCGCTCTCTGGTCTCTCGCTCTCTGGTCTCTCGCTCTCTGGTCTCTCGCTCTCTGGTCTCTGGTTTCTGGACCCCTTTGGAAGCAGCACAAGGCTCCATCTCACAGTGGTCAGACCGGTTTGGGAGCAACGCAGAATAGTCAGTTTAAAAGAAAAAATCTATTCCAATGCGTTGTAAACGTACTCAAAGATGACTTCCAACCAGTGGGGAGGGTCCCAGCTCAAAAGTGGCCAAAATGACGTGGCTGACATGCTTGCAATACCACCCCGGGCCGATGGGGGTGGACCCAGAAGAAGAATTAGCCAATGCTAACATATAGCATTGGCAGACCTCTCGAAAACGTCTTTACAGGATGGACCAAAAGTTGGCTCTGGGCCCAAAGCTCCGTTCCACATGTGTGTCAATGCTGAGGGGGGTGGATTTTTTTGGTCCACTCTAGTTTACTTGCGGGGAATTTTTGAAGTCTCTCGTTCAAATGAATGGAGCTGCGCCGGCTGACGCATGCACAGATGCGTTTTTTCCCTATTTTCTTGTGGGCGGGACCACTCGCGGCCATTTTGGATTGCTCCAGTAGAGCAAATGATTTGGCCCATTAGTTAGAACGGCGGAGACAGGCGTGACTCTGTCCATTAATATATACAGTCTATGCTTCCAACTAGGAAGTCTTTCTACATTTAAAATCAGTCAATTCTCATTTTAATTCTAGTCAAAACCTGGAATTAAAGTCATTTTAGACATTTTAGACTTTCCATTTTGTCCCATTCAAAGTAGTGTTACAATAAAATACACAGTAACACAACATGAATTATATCAACAAAACAAAGTCATAACAGAACATAGACATACTCATAACATTGACATGAGGATCAGGGCAGGTCCAGGGCGGGTCTAACCAAGCTCAAAACCTCAATAACTCCATCTGGATCAGCGACATGTGCATTAAACCGGGAGGACGGGTTCTTTCTCCTAAACTCACCTTTTCGAGAAAGAGCTGAGCCATGGACAAACAAGCTAAAGACAAGTTAAAGCTGCGGTCCCCAACTCTCCTCGATCGGCCTCCTACAACCGTCTGTTTTAAACTTGCTGTGTTTTACTGTCCCACGTTGTCTCGTCTTCCTTGTTGTCCGTCTGCTTTATTCCCCGGTATTTCTTTTTGATATTTTCTATTATTATGACTGATTTATTGACTGTTTTATTGCTTTTATGCCGACTCTGCAGTGCTTTGTAAACACTGTTTTTTTGCAGTAAACATAAACCAGTATTATTATTATTATATATATTAGTCTTGTTTGAGCAAAAATTTTGTCAATAAGTCAGACCACAACAACCTGTAGTCCTGCAGAGGCTAAAAATACATGTGATAACCAGGGATAGAAGAAAACTGTTTTAGAGCCAGGAACTAATGACCTGGATTGCATTACAGAGTTCAAATGGTTGTTGTCTGAAAGTTAGATACCCCGGCTTTAACCATTTGCTTTTATTTGCATGCAGCTGGAACACATTTCAATAAAAACCGAAACTCGAGTCACTTCTGCAATTTCCTTCCCACCGACTCATCAGGGCCATATCAATATTTTAGCTTTTCCCAGGGCTTTTACACTTTAGATTAGCCCTCACAAGCTAACAGCTAATTAAATGCAAACCAGTGTATGCTAGCCCACATGGGAGTGTGCCAGTTAGATGATATAAGGTCATGTAGAATAAGGACTAATAAATGCTTAATAAATACTAAACAAGAGTGAATTAACCATAAATTATACATTAATGACTAAATAGAAGTGTGACCTTTTTTTTCTTTCTTTTTTTACTAAATGAATCTATTGGCACTGAAGGAAAAAACAAAACAGCGTCATTACCATTGAGTAAAGCTGGGGTACCTAACTTGGTATCTCTATGGTCTCCCTGGTCTCTCTCCAGTCTCCCTCTCTGATCTCTCTCTCTCCAGTCTCTCTCTTTTTCCAGTCTCTCTCCAGTCTCCCTCTCAGATCTCTCACTCTCCAGTCTCTCTCTTTTTCCAGTCTCTCTCCAGTCTCCTTCTCTGATCTCTCTCTCTCCAGTCTCTCTCTTTTTCCAGTCTCTCTCCAGTCTCCCTCTCCGATCTCTCGATCTCCAGTCTCTCTCGTTTTTCAGTCCCTCTTCCTGGTCTCTCTCCAGTCTCTTTCTGATCTCTTTTCAGTCTCTCTTTCTGGTCTCTTTCTTTTTCCAGTCCCTCATTCTGATCTGTCTCTTTCTCTCGAGTCTCTCTCAAATCTCCCTCTCTTGTCTCCCTCTTTTTCCAGTCTGTCTTTCTGGTCTCTCTCTCTAGCCTCTCTCTCCAGTCTCTCTTTCTGGTCTCTCTCTCTCTCGTCAAATTCAACTTTCTTCTACCACTTGTTCTCTAAAGCATGTCTCTCTGGCCTCGGTCACAGCTTCAGATCAGGTTTGTTTGACAGAAAAGTGACAAAGCGAGCACCTCCCTCACTCGCAGCCAATCCGCCCTCAGCCCAAAGCCTCAAATAGTGACTCTCAGGGCTCGTTCTTACACAAACGATCACGCGTGTCCTAATGAGATGACGACAGCTTGTTGTTGTCGGATCCTGTCACAACATCTACCATTTATGGAGAAATGGAAATTAGGTACCCCAGCTTTAAAGCCACAATCTCTGCTTTTTTCTAGCCTCATTATTAAAAGTTGCTGCATTGGCTTCTTACCTCTGCTGTTGTGTTCTCGTCTCGAAGCAAAATGAGGAAAAGATTGTTTGTGTGAAGCAGGGTTTTATAGGTGCCTGCAGGGGGTGGGGCCTAGAGTGAGGGGAGGGGGCCTAGAGTAGGGGGTGGGGCTAAAAGCAGGGGGCGGGGCTTAGCTGGGGCACAACATAACATCAGCTGAGAGGCGTCCACACAGCCCAGAATAACTCCACTGACAAACAGCCGCTGAAATGACTGACCACAGCTTTGAGGACAGTCCTCTCCACAACGACACAAATGTCTGGTTCAAAAAGTGTTGGAAATGGGTCAGAAATATAATCATAATAATAATAATATGAAAAATAATAAATTGGTTTTATACAGCGCTTTTCTAGACTCTCAAAGATGCTTCACATGTTTCACTCCAAACACAGTGGTCATACACTACTGCTGTAGCCACAGCTGCCCTGGGGCACACTGACAAAAGTGAGGCAACCAGTCTGTGCTATTGACCCCTCCCACCACCACCAGCCATTCACACACACACCAGAATCATTCTAATGTGGGAGAAGTGTCTTGCCTAAGGAACAACCACAATTTGGCACTTTACAGCCGCCCCACGGTGGCACCAGGTGTTACCAGAGGTCTCCCATCACAGCACTAACCAGGCTCTGCCCAGCTTAGCTTGGCCATATGTTTATGAGCGAGAGGAAATAAAAAGCAGTTTCTGAATAAAAGGGATACTTTCCTAAAATTTGGGGAAAATTTTAGGAAAGAACCGCCCTCTCCACTTTTTGAAGTGGCCATATTTGACGAGCACGTGGTTGGCACGCAACCAGAATGATTGACAATTGGGAAGACCAATAGTCTTCATGATCCACCCGGAAGTAGAAAATACTCCTATATACATTTAATTAAATTATCAGGAACCTCTGGCATGAACAATGCTCCTTCTGTCTACAGTGCCTTGCGAAAGTATTCGGCCCCCTTGAACCTTTCAACATTTCGCCACATCTCAGGCTTCGAACATAAAGATATAACATTTTCATTTTTTGTCATGAATCAACAACAAGTGGGACACAATCGTGAAGTGGAACGAAATTTATTGGATAATTTAAACTTTTTTAACAAATAAAAAACTGAAAAGTGGGGCGTGCAATATTATTCGGCCCCTTTACTTTCAGTGCAGCAAACTCAGTCCAGAAGTTCAGTGAGGATCTTTGAATGATCCAATGTTGTCCTAAATGACTGATGATGATAAATAGAATGCACCTGTGTGTAATCAAGTCTCCGTATAAATGCACCTGCTCTTTGATAGTCTCAGGGTTCTGTTTAAAGCGCAGAGAGAACCATGAAGACAAAGGAACACACCAGGCAGGTCCAAGATACTGTTGTGGAGAAGTTTAAAGATTAAACTGAATCCTTTTTGTACTTTTTGTATCCGGATTTGGATACAAAAAGATTTCCCAAGCTTTAAACATCTCAAGGAGCACTGTGCAAGCAATTATATTGAAACGGAAGGAGTATCAGACCACTGCAAATCTACCAAGACCCGGCCGTCCCTCCAAACTTTCATCTCAAACAAGGAGAAGACTGATCAGAGATGCAGCCAAGAGGCCCATGATCACTCTGGATGAAGTGCAGATAACTACAGCTGAGGTGGGAGAGTCTGTCCATAGGACAACAATCAGTCGTGCACTGCACAAATCTGGCCTTTATGGAAGAGTGGCAAGAAGAAAGCCATTTCTCAAAGATATCCATAAAAAGTCTTGTTTAAAGTTTGCCACAAGCCACCTGGGAGATACACCAAACATGTGGAAGAAGGTGCTCTGGTCAGATGAAACCAAAATCAAACTTTTTGGCCACAATGCAAAACGATATGTTTGGCGTAAAAGCAACACAGCTCATCACCCTGAACACACCATCCCCCACTGTCAAACATGGTGGTGGCAGCATCATGCTTTGGGCCTGCTTTTCTTCAGCAGGGACAGGGAAGATGGCTAAAATTGATGGGAAGATGGATGGAGCCAAATACAGGACCATTCTGGAAGAAAACCTGTTGGAGTCTGCAAAAGACCTGAGACTGGGACGGAGATTTATCTTCCAACAGGACAATGATCCAAAACATAAAGCCAAATCTACAATGGAATGGTTCACAAATAGACGTATCCAGGTGTTAGAATGGCCAAGTCAAAGTCCAGACCTGAATCCAATCGAGAATCTGTGGAAAGAGCTGAAGACTGCTGTTCACAAACGCTCTCCATCCAACCTCACTGAGCTCGAGCTGTTTTGCAAGGAAGAATGGGAAAGAATTCCAGTCTCTCGATGTGCAAAACTGATAGAGACATACCCCAAGCGACTTGCAGCTGTAATTGCAGCAAAAGGTGGCGCTAGAAAGTATTAGCTCAAGGGGGCCGAATAATATTGCACGCCCCACTTTTCAGTTTTTTATTTGTTAAAAAAGTTTAAATTATCCAATAAATTTTGTTCCACTTTACGATTGTGTCCCACTTGTTGTTGATTCTTGACAAAAAATTAAATTTTTATATCTTTCTGTTTGAAGCCTGAAATGTGGCGAAATGTTGAAAGGTTCAAGGGGGCCGAATACTTTCGTGAGGCACAGTAAATGCAGTCAATTCAATTCAATTTATTTTCATTTTGCCCTAAATCCCAACAGTAGTTTTCTCAGAGGACTTGACAAAGCTGTCGATTCACCGATACAAATGTTGATAAAATTCATAAATGTCAAACATTGTTACATTATGACAAACTCCTCACACTCTAACAAGCTGATTTCTGCTGTTCAAAACATAAACATTGCCTCTAAGAATAAAGCTGGGATACCTACATTTTGTACCTAGCAGAGTCTTAGTGAAGAAGACCACGTAAGAATCTACACTGAAAATCCAATTCTGGACTGTATTAAGACAGACGCTTTAACCCTCTTGTTCAATGTTGCCCAATAGGGAAGTGCTCATGGACAAAGTTTTGCTCCACCTCTCTCTGGCTCCCATTGAGTTCCATGTAAAAGTAAACTCCTCTATCTCAGTAACCGTTTGCGTCTCACTCACTCTTTTGGGCTTAAAAAAATCCATGGTTGGATCCCAGTGTTTATTCAGTGACTGCCTTTGTATAATAATGCGTCTTTGTAAATATAGATGTATCTCTTAGAAGTGCAGGTAAATGAACGAGGGAAAGGTGGCAGGCAAAATAGACATTTATTTATTATTATGGATTGCGTCTCCATTATCTGAGCAAAGTACCGTTCCATTTTCCCTGTAATGGGCTCCTCTGACCTTCGACCTCTGCAGAAAAATCTCAACCTTGAAATCGATGAGTTTAGTGTGAGATCAGCCGAGTCTGCACTTCAGCCCACGACACATTTTTAACCGCTTAACCTTCTGTTTGCGACGCTTCTAATCAGCGCCACAGGAACACTTAAACTTAAAGCTGGGGTCTCTAACATTCTCAAATATATCACATGTAGATTGTAAGTAAGTAAGTAGAGTTTATATGTATAGCGCCTTTCACAGACCAGGATCACAGTTAAAAACAGAGAAAATAGAACACACAAAAGTCAGTTCCATAAACAAACAGAAGAGTCGTGAACACAGCGCTCAGAGGACTATGCACGGTGAGGCGAGAGCTGCTGAGAACCAATGGGTCTTAAGTTGAGACTTGAAATCATGGATAGACTCCGATATGCAGAGAATGAGGAAGCTCAGTCCAAAGGCGAGGAGCAACAGCCTGGAAGGACCTCAGCAGGGATGCACCGATACCGTAGGCTTGATGTTTAGATCACAGTTGAGCTGAATACTGTACATACAAAGCTACAGGTCGCTGGTGGAAAACTTCTAAGATCAGCATGAACTCCTTGGTCTGGGCTTGTTTGCACTCAGGCTGGTTCTGTGGAATGACAACAGCCCAAAGCTAAGCCTGTTGTAGCGTAAATGTAGCGTACCCCACACTTGTGCAGACGTAATGTGGGGTTTGGTTTGGGACATTCCTCATTCTGAAACTAGGCCAAAGATCTCCAGTTACAGAGAGCCAGCTTCTGTGGCCTCTGTGACCTCTGTGACCACTACTCACTGCTAGTGCTGGTTCTGCTTCATGGTACCAGTCTGGAACCAAATGATTGGTCTGTACTTTGTCTTTTTTCCCACTGGGTTTTTTTGTCGAGTCATTCCCCGCAGAGGCAGGAGGGTCGAAGGACAGTGATGATCTGGGACATTTATACACATTTATGAACCTCGGTCATCCTGCCCCCTATGGACCAATAGAGGTGGGGACTGAAATAGATTCTGTTCAAATATTACGGTATTTTGCACAAGCAATTAAACGGACACAGTTGAAAAAAACTGAGAGACCATAAAAAATGTGACTTTTGAGTTGAGTCTTATTTTCTTCTATGTTTGGAACGTCTGAATAATATGAGGGACATGAGTCGCGATATATCATCACAGAATCTAATCAGATGAATTTAATTCAATTGTGTATTGAATTGTGGCCCAAATATCACAATACCATGTACAGGGTTTTGCTCCACCTCTCTCTGGCTCCCATTGACACTCACTATTTTGGGCTTTAAAAAATCCATGGTTTGATCCCCATGTTTATTCAGTAATTGCCTTTGTGAAATCAGAAAAGTCTTTGTGAATATAGATGTCACATTTGTGCCAATTCCCACGTCTGATAAAGGCCTGTTAAACGATAAAGGCCATTTTGCTCAACACTGAGGGTAGTGCAAAAACGTTATCCTTGAACATTCAGGACACAGGACCTTTTTACAGACAAGACATCATAGAGTCACAACATCAGAGTAACAGACCTCAAATGGACCGGAGGAAACTCAGAGAAAACACTAAAGTGAAACCGATCATTGTGTGCGCAAAATATCTCGATAATGAACAGAGTTGATTTTTTTCCCACCACGATCATCTATGGTAAAAATCCAGCATGGACAGACAGTCGAATAAGCCTCAGTGATTACATTAGAGGTGACAGCTGTGAAAAGGGAATATATATATTTTACTCCTGCATCTGTGAGTCCATTTGTATTTAATGAGGACAAAGCAATTAGTATCAAAAAACCAGATCTGTATGAACCGCTGTAAACAAAACAGCCCGCATTAAAGTATTATTATGACAAGTCACAGGTCTCCAACACAATCGACATGACTTTGAGCTCTGGGTGCAGCTGCTGCTCCCCCCACACAGCATTTGTGTGTATGTGTGTGTTTGTGTGTGTTTGTGTGTGTGTGTGAGCCGCTCCCACACCAGACGTTCAGGCTGATAACAGCAGACGAGATCCCTGTCTGTGGGTAATTCTGCCTTTTAAAGCTGTCTCACAAACACTCAGCCCTAAAATTAGTTTATCTTTACATGTTTTTAGTCGACTGCATTCTTCGATTAAATACAAATATCTTACACTAAGTTTAAGTCATGATGAATACTTGGGCTACAGCAAACACAACACTCTTCTGACCTCTGGTGGACAAATTAGACCTGTTTTAGACCTGCTTTAGTCCTGCTTTAGTCCTGCTTTAGTCCTGCTTTAGTCCTGCTTTAGTCCTGCTTTAGTCCTGCTTTAGTCCTGCTTTAGACCTGCTTTAGACCTGCTTTGGACCTGCTTTGGACCTGTTTTAGACCTGTCTTAAATCTGCTTTAGACCAGTTTTAGTCCTGCTTTAGTCCAGCTTTAGACCTGTTCTAGTCCTGCTTTAGTCCGGCTTTAGACCTGCTTTAGACCTGCTTTAGACCTGCTTTAGACCTGCTTTAGACCTGCTTTAGACCTGCTTTAGACCTGCTATAGACCTGCTATAGACCTGCTTTAGACCTGCTTTAGACCTGCTTTAGACCTGCTTTAGACCTGCTATAGACCTGCTTTAGACCTGCTTTAGACCTGCTTTAGACCTGCTTTAGACCTGCTCTAGACCTGCTCTAGACCTGCTCTAGACCTGCTCTAAACCTGCTCTAGGCCAGTTGTAGTCCGGTTTTAGACCTGCTTCAGTCCTGCTTTAGACTAGTTTTAGTCTGGTTTTAGACCTGCTTTAGACCAGTTATAGTCCTACTTTAGACCGGTTTTAGTCCTGCTTTAGACCAGTTGTAGTCCGGTTTTAGTCCTGCTTTAGTCCTGTCCTGCTTTAGACCCAGTCCTAGCCCAGTTTCCACAGAGGCCTGCACAGAGAGTCTGGTCTGTTATAACCGTGCACAGATATGTGAAGAATGCAGGTGTCCTCCTCAGAACAACACGAGGCCTCGTCAGAGCGGCCTGTGCTCCGTCTGCTTCACACTCACTATAGACTCTAAACATGTTTATGTCTGTTTGGAACGACAATGAGATCAAAGAAACAGGACAACACACTTCTGTATTCACCCATTGTGCTGGTTTTTATGTATTTATGTGTTTGTTTGGATGGATCTATCTATGTCTCTATCTATTTATCTATCCATTTACCTATTTATCTATGCATCTATCTATTTATCTATCTATCTATTTATCTATCCATCTATCTATCTATTTATCTATCCATCTATCTATCTATTTATCTATCCATCTATATCTATTAGGGGTGTAACGATACATCTATTCGACGTATCGTTGTGTCTCCCCTGTGATCCAGCTTCATCGATCGGCGCTCAGCTATTAGGCCTCGATCCAAGCCGCACATCGACACTACATTGTTTTAAATGGAAAAATGTTGATTGTATCTATATAGTTCTTACATTAAATCAGTCAGAACGTGCAATGGAATTATACATTTTTTGTTGCCTGAATGTTAATCTAAACAAATTTGATTTGTTTTTCGCCCGTGTCATCAACAAACTTTTGTGGCGGCGCTGTACATTTACGTCACAAGCTCACGACAACAACAACACGGATGGTAGCAGCGGTAGCAGCGAGGCTTTTAAACCTCCAAATTTGCGTTCGTCAGTCAGGAGATACTTCGGGTTTTGTAAAAAAAAGAAAAGAAAAAGGGGGGCAATCTTGACAAAACGATCGGCTCTGTAGACCTACTCTTCTCGCTATGCTTCTCTTCGCATCTGTACCGACGCCACGGCATCGCTGGCAAAGCAGAAGAGTCACCCGAGGGAGCAGCATCCAAAAACAGAAACTGCGGTGCAAGAGCGGAGACCAAAAAGGTATTTTCAAAGTTCTATTCGAGCTTCAATATGTAGCACTAGAATGTACAGTGCTCACTGCTCAACAAAAGTGTTGGACCATCGTCATGACAACATAAAGAACTGAGTAACACTAAATAAAGAACTTCAAATGAACAGTATCTTTTTTATTTCATATTAAGAAAATAATCAATTGGAAAAACAAAATAGTCCATCAAATCCAGCTTCATATCCATTCTTATTTAACCACTATAGAAACAAAAAAATATATGGTTTAATTTTAAACACTTAAGTGGTGCTGTAAAACATTTGTTAAGCACTGCATTGTTATACATCTGTTTTATTATTTTCTATTCATGTGAGTTATTTATAAGTTAGCTCTTGGGCAAAATAAATGTTTGTATTTCTTGTTCTGCACTTTAAATCTGAGTTAGATTTCTAAGTTTAAATGACTGTAACAAGTTTATTTGCAGAAAAAGCCAATATTACTGTATCTATATATTGTTCAAAAATCTAAAGAAGATATCGTTTTTATCTAAATCATTTGCTCTCATATCGATACGGATCGTATCGTTCTAAAAACATATCGTTACACCCCTACTATCTATCTATCTATCTCTATCTATGTATCTATCTATCCATCTTTCTATGTCTCTATCTATGTATCTATCTATGTATCTATGTATCTATGTATCTGTCTATCTATCTATCTATCTATATATGTGTGAGCGTATGTCTGCCTTGTAAAGCTGGGGTACCTAACTTTGAAACCACACCACACATGTAACTGTGTAGTCGGCCTCAGAACAGTTTGCTTCTATCACTGGTGTCGTCACATGACTGCAAAATTTTTCCGTTTGGTCCCAGGCCCGCAGTTTGGACAACACTGGTTTTAGACTCATGAATAGATCCAGAGCCACTGCCGCTAACCAGCACAACAGGGTTTTATCTGGAACCAGGTCCGGACAAAAGGACTCTTCTGGGACCACAGGGAGCCCAGAATGGGACTGAAGCTAGGCTGAAGCAGGCTGAAGAGGCCAGACGGTGGGCTGTCATGCTTTGAGCCTCACTCTAGTCATTTGCGGAGAGAATGGAAGGAAATGTGACCTCTACAGATGGTGTTCACGAGACTCTGGCAACGCGTGACAGGGCAGACTTCCTGTGTGTGTTACACAATAAAACCAGATATCATCCATGGTTCACAAATAATCTCTGGTAAAAAATCAAGCCTCAAAAGACAGACAGACAAATACACCTGGGTGATTACTTTACCCACTGGCAGAGGTAACAGCGATAACAAAAGCTGAAATGTCTATAGCTCTCTGTGGTCTCTCTGTGGTCTCTCTCTCGTCTCTCTCTGTTCACTCTCTCTATATAGAATGATTGTACATTTACGTCTCGTCAGTATCCTTGAATCCATTTGTATTTAATGAGGACAAACCTATTCAAATCAACAAACCAGATCTGTATAAACAAAACAGCCCGCATTAAAGTATTATGATGACAAGACACAGGTCTCCAACACAATGGACATGACTTTGAGCTCTGGGTGCAGCCGCTGCTCCCACCACACACCTCTCTGATTGGATAACCCGCTTGAATATCGTAAACACAAAATATTAGAGTGTGTTTTTTTGCCATTGCAGGATGGTCTATGGACAGTGATGATCCAGGACATATTCATGGACAGTGGTCTCCGCCATGATCTGAGTTTAAACTGTTTGATTCTCTGATCTGTGTTGGCGAATCGACAGCTTTGAATTCTGTCCATTGTATTTTTCTTAACTCCACTGTAGCTGTCAAATAGGAGGTGTATGTGAACTGTTTTCTGGGGACACATATCAAAGTGTAGATGTCATTTTTAATCGCACTTACTGTCCCTTTAAATGTGAGCAGTTATATACATTTCTGTGTTCTGTGATGTTCAGTGTAAATGTATCAGGAACATAAGACAGTATAAATGTAGCACAATAACAAAAGCTCTGTGTTTTGGTCCTGGTTCTGGTTCTGGTTCTGCGGGCCGCGTCCTTCAGAGCGTGTCTCACAGACGCACTCACCATCTCGATGATCCGCGTCTTTTTCCCCGCGCGCTTCTGTTTGGCCACGACGTACTGCGCCAACGCGACCCCCCCGACCAGTGCGCACACCCCCGCACTGGCAGCGGCTCCCACCTTCACCACGGCCGCCCTGTCCATGCTGAGGCGGGCTGAGACGGGCTGAGACGGGCTGAGACGGGCTGAGACGGGCTGAGACGGGCTGAGACGGGCTGAGACGGGCTGAGACGGGCTGAGACGGGCTGAGACGGGCTGAAGCGGGCTGCAGAGCTCTGGAGCCCTGGTGAACAGTGTGCAGTGTGGAGCCTCTGTACGCTCTGTCCCTGCTCCTCCTCTCTGCACTTCCGGGTCCGAGTGCCCGAGCAGAGATCCGCTGTGGAACAGGAGGGGCCACTCGATCCAGCCTAGACATGGATCTATAATAATAACCTAGACCAGACTGCCTACCATATAATAATAATAATAATAACAATAACGATAATGATCAGAAAGATAATAATAATGATAATAATGCTAATGCTAATAATAACGATAGCAATAATAATGATAACGGTAATAATAACAACAATGAATATAATCATAATAATAATCATGCATTTTATTTATATGGTGCCTTTCTAGACCCTCCACAAAGGGTACAAAGGTAAAGCAAGACAGTTAAAAGCAAACATTTAATCACCTTGGATATGATACGTGCACTGAAAACATTATTCAAAGAACGCATTATGTATAACTTTGGAAATGATAATGAGACAATTTACTTTGTCACTTCACGTTTTAGACATTTTCACAATGTTTGAGCAAACACAGACATTTCACTCGAGAAATTACAAAACAAAATCATGTACAATACTTTTGTTTTAGGCAGAAAAAAGTTCTGGTACAGGTCAGTTCTGTGACATGACCATGTATATTCACACAAACATTGAACAACCATGTATCTGTCAAATCTATTTTTTCGATTAAAAATTATCCATACCCTTTTTTCCCCTAAGAACTCACTATGTTCAATTAAACGATGACTTAGGCCTCAAATAGTCTCAAATCTATTTTATACAATTGGCTCTTTGCTTTACATCACAACACACACCCCGGACCCAGAGTGGCAGTCTTGTGGTGGCCTCGAACCCACGACCTTTGGGCCCAAAGGCCAATGATCTACCAAAATATAATATACTAAATCTGTGCCTGGGGAATGAACACTGTAGCGTCAAAATACACAGAATAACACCTTGTTTGTGTTTGTAAAAGTACAAAGGTTTTTCAAATCAGCAGAAACTGTTACAGAGACAGAACAGAAACAGAGAACACACAGAGAAGAAGTGACGTCATCAACTTTTAATGTACACTTTTAAATAAACAATAATGAATGCTGATAATACAGTCGCTGCTGCTATGTGTGGAATGGAGCTGTAGTGAGTGAGTCGGGCCACACGGGGGCGCTGTGGGCGCGTTACTCTGAGCGGCTGATGCCTTTGGCCTCTTTGGCCTCCTCCAGCGCGCGCAGAGTCTCGTCCCACTGAGTGAACTGTTTGGACAGCAGGAACATCTGAAAGACCAGAGACAGTGCTCATGAGACATCACAACAGAAGCCAGATTCAAGTCTAAGTTCAGAGCTACTTTCTCTGTAGTTCCTGAAACAATCCTCACAAAATAAAACATTATTAAAGGTCCTCTTCTTGGTCAGAACTTAATAACTATGGACTCATTATTTAAGCATAAAAAGTGTCTGGAAGAGGATTTAGACTTAGATACGAGCTGTTGGTCAGAAGACAGGACTTTGAGGCAGCTGTGGAAATCTCATCACACCCTTTTATTTTTCAACAGTTCTTTCAAAAATGGCTTCTTTCCCACAGAGTTGTTTTGGCTCCAACTACAATACAATACAATTTATTCTTGTATAGCCCTAGGTCACAACAGAAGTCATCTCAGAGGACTTAACAAAACCATTGAAATCACCAACACAGGTCAGAGAATCAACAGTTAAAACACATGAAGAATATAAAGCACACACAGAAGAAAATGTCCATACATGTTGTAGAATGCTAAAGTGTCCTGATCATCACCAATCCTTTCTGTTGGACACTAACTGTCCAACAAGACCCTCCTGCATCGACAAGGAAAAACTCTTAAAAAACCCAGTGGGAAAAAGTGAGAAACCTTGGGGAGAACTAGGGAAACCCACAGGGAGGGAGACCCATATGAGAAAGGGATCCGCTCCTCCGGACGGACAGGCTAATGATCCAGGACCTAAGCTAGCTACATACAACTGAAATATAATTCTAAAACATGAACTAGAGCCAAATATTCCGTACAAATGAATTGAACAGATGATTTGAAGTATTGCAGAAGTAGTTTCAAAAGTTCTTCCACTTTCCTGATCGTCCTTGACTTGGTAAGAGATCAGGTACTTCTACTTTTGTAATATTTGCAGTATTCGTAGCACTACAAGTTGTACATTTTCTTATCTTTTTAATGGAACTTTGTATCTTTTTATTTTCACGTTTGGAAGGTTTCTGATCTTTTTAGTATCATGTAGCATTTGTCGTTTCACTGTTTGTGTCGAGAATGGAGAAATATCTGAACTCTGATCATTGTAAAGCACTTTGGGCGACCTTGGTCTGTAGAATGTGCTATATAAATAAACATTACTTACCTGTACTTATTGTATGTGTAGTGTAATAAGGGTGTAATAATGATGTAATTGGTGTAATCATTTTAGATTTTGAATGTTTTGAATCTTCTAAGTGTTTTGTAGCACTTTGTTTAGGGTATGCAGCTTCAGTACATTTTCTGGTTCGGTTGATGGTGTTAAAAACCATAAGTACCATTTTGTTGTATTCGTCGAAGACTTTCTTCACTTCCACGGCCTGAGCGTCGCTCTGGTCCTGTCAAAAACATAAACCACAGACTTGAGAAAACATTTCCCAGCGTAAAAACTGAAACTTAAACCTGCGTTATTGGTCACGACCAGGAATGTCCAACCCAAGGCCCGAGAGCCGATTGAGGCCCTGTGTCGTGTTATAGGGCCCTCTGCTTCGCTAACCTAAGTCGCCTTTGAGATCATACACAATGTTGTCAAAGCTAATGCTAAAGCTTAGAACACAGTCTAAACAGTGTTTGAGTCCGGGTTGCAGCCCCCTGGACTAGTCTGCTGAACTAAAGTGCTAAAGACCCTTTAACTAAAGTGTTGGGACAGCCCTGGCCCAGACGTAGTGTTAGTGTTAAAGGTGAATAGAACTGATGTCACCTGTTGCTTGATGTGGATTTGGGAAAGACGCTGCAGCTTCGTGGCGTGTTCCGGAACATCTGAAAACAAGAGCACTTTGGTCACACATTATATAGTCTATTTCTGGGTCGAGACGATCAGAGCAGGATGTGAGACAGGTCGGGTTCAAGACTTTTGAAAGAAAGTCACGATTCACGATTAATCCGAGTGCTTTCTTCATCTGCACAAGCACTTTGCACCTTGTTGGTTATTCTGTAAATACTGCTTTTAATTGCACTTTTTACTGGTAAGTTAGTTTGTATTCTGGCACTTTAATGGGACAGTGCATAGGCATGTTCTTTTGTTGAAATTGCGCAGACTAGGCCATTTTCAAAAGGACTGTGAACCTAAGACACATTTTAACCAGACGTAGTGTAGTGTTAGTGATTTGAAAGCAGACTGCATTTTTAAAAGAAAAGATAAAACTTTATTGATCTGAAAATGGAGAAATGGAGAAAGCATTGTTGCATTTCTAATTTATTCAGAAGCTGTACAGGAAGTGGCAAACCTCGGATGTAGTTACTGTCGAGCAGCGGCTGCAGAGAGTTCACCTGCTCCAGTGAAGCGGCCTGAGAGGTGAGAAAGTCCTCCTCTGCAACACAACACACGACACACAATAGTGAACTCTCTCTCATACAGAGTTGTGTTGCTCTGAGCGATACCTGCCAAGATGAACTCCAGCTTCATGGCGTCTGGGACCGAGATGTGCTCCGTGAACTGAGGGTCCAGGTACTTCACCAGGTCCTCGACTGGACACACGCACACGCACACACCCACAGACACACACGCACAAAGCACAATGAGAAAAGTGTTAAATATTTGAAATATACTATGTACTATAGTTTCATTGTGACGTTTCAATTCAATACCATGTGGTTTTTGTATATTCCTAAATGACAACAGTCGTTATTTCAGAGGACTTCACAAAGCTGTCGATTCTCCAACATAGATCAGAGAATCAAACAGTTCAAACAGTGAGAAACCCAAGGCCCACATTGAGAGATCCTGTAGATCCAGGACTGAGGCCATTTTTCATCCCAAAAAGCAGATGCGCATTGTTTTGTTCTGTGTTCATGTGAAAGATGTCAAAAGCATGATTTTGGTGAAGTCCAAACTGGGGCCATGACGGCAAAAAGAAACTAAAGAATTCTACTGATGGTGACATGTTTGCATTGGTTAAAGGCGACATATTTCCCTTTTCTTCATTCTCCACAGTCCATCCTAAACACATGTGTTACATAGTCATTTCAGACCTGAGAATTCACTTTTTCCAACAATGGCAAGTCGATCCCCATTCGCCTAATTTGCTGTCTTCGGGCCAAATCATATATTTACACCAAGTCTCCAAGTCTCATGATGTGAACACAAAAAAGCCCAGACGCGTATCCTCAGTCTATGGACCGCACTCTGGACTCGGAGAGAAGCTGCATGCGCTGATCATAGACGGCGCTGATTCGCCGGTTCAGTTTCTCCCCGCTGTCAATCACCTCCTGAGGGCGGGATTTAGACGTCACGGATTGGTGCACGTCACGATTTGAAACAACTCTGAAATCTGTGCCTCTTGAGAATGAAAGAGAAAGATCGCTCTCTAATTAAGGCTTGAGGGAATCAATGAAAAAACTACTCTGGCCATGTGTGTGAAGGCCAAAATGACACTGTAATCATGTTTAAACTAGAGAAAAGTCAAAAATCTTAATATGGGACCTATAATGAGTAAAACTTCTATTCAAGGAGACACAACCAGACGCTAAATAAACTCTCTACAATGATTGATTGGGAGTGAATAGGCGGAGATGCAGTCCAAATTTTGTCAATCCACACATTAAAAACGTCCTTCTACCAAGTATCCAGTCTGGTATTTCTTGCTACTCAAACTGACTCAGGACCATGACTTCAGATGTGGTGCCGTGAGTGCGGTGGGGACTGACTCTTTTTGTGCAGGATCTTCACTCGCTCTCGTTTGTTGGCCGTACAAGCCAGAGCCGTCTGGATTCTGCCCATGGACTCGGAGCACTGTGGAGGCAAAGGCATCTGTCACCATGGGGCATCAAGGACTAGACCAGCGTTTCCAAACCAGGGGCACACACACACACACACACACACACACACACACACACACACACACACACACACACACACACACACACACACACACACACACACACACACACACACACACACACACACACACACACACACACACACACACACACACACACACACACACACACACACACACACACACACACAGGGCTAAACATGTTAGGAACTCGAAGATAATTTAAAGAAGGTGGATTTCCCCTCACTCCCCCATTTGAATGTAAGATGCTGCAGTTTATTCTTTTATCACAGATTAGAAAACAATCAAACATGAATGAATGACCCAATCTAAACCAACAGGAGCTCACCCCCTTTAAGACAAATCCACAAAGGACAGGGAACATTGTGCTTTGGGTGACCTTGGTCTGTAAAATGCGACATATAAATTACTCACTTACTTACATGTGCACAAGATAAGATTAAGATAAGATAAGATAGACTTTATTGATCTCACAAATTACTTTAAATAATTCAAATTTGATAAATACCCATTCTCTAAATAGATGTTTACTTTAGAACATTACTAGGGTTGTCCAATAATAAATTCAAACAACAAATAGACATAAAGCATCTAGGGATTGCCGTAGCTGTAATAAAAACAATTTAGCTTAATACTAAATGGAGTAGCTCTCTGACATTTGTGCTTTTGAAGTAGTTCTTAAAGCTCTCAATTTGGCCTGATGATGATAATAATAATAATAACAATATAATGTCACATAAAGAGTATAGAAAATTACAATGTTCCCACATGTATTCCAGTTTGAAATGTCTAGTTATTAAACAGTTTACTGAAGTAATCTGAGTTTTCTAATCTATTCAATAGTCTCCAATGTACTCAATAGTCTCCCTATTACACATCATTTATTTATAGTCTTCATGTGACTTTTGCCTCAAAGGCAACATTCTTTTTTCAACCGTGGAAAAGGAAGCCGCTCTAGTTTAATCAAAGTGTGATTATGTGAGGCTCTGTGAGAGGAGTTTGAGGCATTGTGGCAAAAAATAATGCAAACAGTGTTCCCGCTATGGTAATAATGACGTTTCTCATTAATTTTGTTTGTTACAGGTAATTTTCACTATAAAACAGTAGATGATGAATCATGTTTGAACAAAGCAAAATGAAAAGGGATCTGATGGAAAAAGTGTATTGAAATGAATCAAATCCATTTCCACTTTTAAAGTAAACGTAAAGCTTACATTAATAAAGAATCAAAAATAATCAAAGACAGCCTTAGTGTGGAGAGCTCTTTAAACCCAGTTAGTTTAGAGATGCCAGTCTGCTGTATCTCCACAATCTGTTCCCACATTCATTGCAGCAAATCCCCATTACGTTCAGAACAGAGCACAACTTTGCCAAATGCAAGAATCCTCTACGCTGTATAATTATGAGCTCATATTTTGATGAGAACAGGGCGTTGACAGCGGCGTTAGCATCCCCGTGCTAACAGAGGCTAACCATCTCCAAAGTGATCATTTCAAACTCACTTTGACCGGCTTTGAGCTTTTACTCCTCCTGTCTCCGTAGACACGACTCTCCAGCGTCTGCAGCCGCGCTTCCAACTCACTCGTGTCCATTATGTATTTGTTTTTACTGTGTTTACACCACAACAAGAAGAAAACAACACAAGCTAACGAGCAGCGACTACAAACGTCATCCACAATGGACGAGCAGGGCGCGCTCTGATGACGACACACTGGGAAGCACGGAACTGGCCCATCTTTTAGGAAGCTAACGCCAACACAAGCAGATAAAAGTGACTATTTTCTACTTATCTTTCAACTTATTGCTTTGAATAGTATAGATTTTCAAAGTAAAGACCCCGGGGAAGCATATTTGACTCAACTTTGTCTTTCGTAGGGTTTGTGTTGGTCGGTAAAGTCATCCGCATTAGCCTCCAAGCTAACGTCAGATTTGGCTGCGCACTTTGACAGGTCAGTGTTGCTTCCTTATGTTGAAGATTCTAATTATAACGCGGGTTTCTGTGTGATTTGTGCGATTTCTCTATGGATTCACAGACGAGTTAGCAGAGAATTGTGTGTTTATTGTTCTGATTAAGTTTTTAAGACAGCCATTTATTTGATCAATACATGGTTACAAAAACACAATTCTTCTACGAGGGGGCAATTGTCATGCGGGATAGCATTAAGAGATATCTCGTGACCCGTGTAAAATGTTAAGCTAATTTGCAGTAATTAGTAATTAGTAAGGTATCTATCTCATGTTTTGAGGAAGCTGCCATAAAACCAGTTTACCAGCAGTAATTGCTATTTTTAGAGTCAGAAAGAGGGAAGACCAGAGTGAGGGAGACTCCAGAGTGAGGGAGACACCAGAGTGAGGGAGACACCAGAGTGAGGGAGACACCAGAGTGAGGGAGACACCAGAGTGAGGGAGACTCCAGAGTGAGGGAGACACCAGCGTGAGGGAGACACCAGAGTGAGGGAGACACCAGAGTGAGGGAGACACCAGAGTGAGGGAGACACCAGAGTGAGGGAGACACCAGAGTGAGGGAGACACCAGAGTGAGGGAGACACCAGAGTGAGGGAGACACCAGAGTGAGGGAGACACCAGAGTGAGGGAGACACCAGAGTGAGGGAGACACCAGAGTGAGGGAGACACCAGAGTGAGGGAGACTCCAGAGTGAGGGAGACTCCAGAGTGAGGGAGACTCCAGAGTGAGGGAGACACCAGAGTGAGGGAGACTCCAGAGTGAGGGAGACTCCAGAGTGAGGGAGACACCAGCGTGAGGGAGACACCAGAGTGAGGGAGACACCAGAGTGAGGGAGACACCAGAGTGAGGGAGACACCAGAGTGAGGGAGACACCAGAGTGAGGGAGACTCCAGAGTGAGGGAGACACCAGAGTGAGGGAGACACCAGAGTGAGGGAGACACCAGAGTGAGGGAGACACCAGAGTGAGGGAGACTCCAGAGTGAGGGAGACACCAGCGTGAGGGAGACACCAGAGTGAGGGAGACACCAGAGTGAGGGAGACACCAGAGTGAGGGAGACACCAGAGTGAGGGAGACACCAGAGTGAGGGAGACACCAGAGTGAGGGAGACACCAGAGTGAGGGAGACACCAGAGTGAGGGAGACACCAGAGTGAGGGAGACACCAGAGTGAGGGAGACACCAGAGTGAGGGAGACACCAGAGTGAGGGAGACACCAGAGTGAGGGAGACACCAGAGTGAGGGAGACACCAGAGTGAGGGAGACACCAGAGTGAGGGAGACACCAGAGTGAGGGAGACACCAGAGTGAGGGAGACACCAGAGTGAGGGAGACACACAGAGTGAGGGAGACACCAGAGTGAGGGAGACACCAGAGTGAGGGAGACACCAGAGTGAGGGAGACACCAGAGTGAGGGAGACACCAGAGTGAGGGAGACACCAGAGTGAGGGAGACTCCAGAGTGAGGGAGACTCCAGAGTGAGGGAGACACCAGAGTGAGGGAGACACCAGAGTGAGGGAGACACCAGAGTGAGGGAGACACCAGAGTGAGGGAGACTCCAGAGTGAGGGAGACACCAGAGTGAGGGAGACACCAGAGTGAGGGAGACACCAGAGTGAGGGAGACACCAGAGTGAGGGAGACACCAGAGTGAGGGAGACTCCAGAGTGAGGGAGACACCAGCGTGAGGGAGACTCCAGAGTGAGGGAGACTCCAGAGTGAGGGAGACTCCAGAGTGAGGGAGACTCCAGAGTGAGGGAGACACCAGAGTGAGGGAGACACCAGAGTGAGGGAGACACCAGAGTGAGGGAGACACCAGAGTGAGGGAGACACCAGAGTGAGGGAGACACCAGAGTGAGGGAGACACCAGAGTGAGGGAGACACCAGAGTGAGGGAGACACCAGAGTGAGGGAGACACCAGAGTGAGGGAGACACCAGAGTGAGGGAGACACCAGAGTGAGGGAGACACCAGAGTGAGGGAGACACCAGAGTGAGGGAGACTCCAGAGTGAGGGAGACTCCAGAATGAGGGAGACTCCAGAGTGAGGGAGACTCCAGAGTGAGGGAGACTCCAGAGTGAGGGAGACTCCAGAGTGAGGGAGACTCCAGAGTGAGGGAGACTCCAGAGTGAGGGAGACTCCAGAGTGAGGGAGACTCCAGAGTGAGGGAGACTCCAGAGTGAGGGAGACTCCAGAGTGAGGGAGACACCAGAGTGAGGGAGACTCCAGAGTGAGGGAGACTCCAGAGTGAGGGAGACTCCAGAGTGAGGGAGACTCCAGAGTGAGGGAGACTCCAGAGTGAGGGAGACACCAGAGTGAGGGAGACTCCAGAGTGAGGGAGACTCCAGAGTGAGGGAGACTCCAGAGTGAGGGAGACTCCAGAGTGAGGGAGACTCCAGAGTGAGGGAGACACCAGAGTGAGGGAGACACCAGAGTGAGGGAGACTCCAGAGTGAGGGAGACTCCAGAGTGAGGGAGACTCCAGAATGAGGGAGACTCCAGAGTGAGGGAGACTCCAGAGTGAGGGAGACTCCAGAGTGAGGGAGACTCCAGAATGAGGGAGACTCCAGAGTGAGGGAGACTCCAGAGTGAGGGAGACTCCAGAGTGAGGGAGACTCCAGAGTGAGGGAGACTCCAGAGTGAGGGAGACTCCAGAGTGAGGGAGACTCCAGAGTGAGGGAGACTCCAGAGTGAGGGAGACACCAGAGTGAGGGAGACTCCAGAGTGAGGGAGACTCCAGAATGAGTGAGACTCCAGAGTGAGGGAGACACCAGAGTGAGGGAGACTCCAGAGTGAGGGAGACTCCAGAGTGAGGGAGACTCCAGAGTGAGGGAGACTCCAGAGTGAGGGAGACACCAGAGTGAGGGAGACACCAGAGTGAGGGAGACACCAGAGTGAGGGAGACACCAGAGTGAGGGAGACTCCAGAGTGAGGGAGACTCCAGAGTGAGGGAGACTCCAGAGTGAGGGAGACTCCAGAGTGAGGGAGACTCCAGAGTGAGGGAGACTCCAGAGTGAGGGAGACTCCAGAGTGAGGGAGACACCAGAGTGAGGGAGACACCAGAGTGAGAGAGACACCAGAGTGAGAGAGACACCAGAGTGAGGGAGACACCAGAGTGAGGGAGACACCAGAGTGAGGGAGACACCAGAGTGAGGGAGACACCAGAGTGAGGGAGACACCAGAGTGAGGGAGACACCAGAGTGAGGGAGACACCAGAGTGAGGGAGACACCAGAGTGAGGGAGACACCAGAGTGAGGGAGACACCAGAGTGAGGGAGACACCAGAGTGAGGGAGACACCAGAGTGAGGGAGACACCAGAGTGAGGGAGACACCAGAGTGAGGGAGACACCAGAGTGAGGGAGACACCAGAGTGAGGGAGACACCAGAGTGAGGGAGACACCAGAGTGAGGGAGACACCAGAGTGAGGGAGACACCAGAGTGAGGGAGACACCAGAGTGAGGGAGACACCAGAGTGAGGGAGACACCAGAGTGGAGGGAGACACCAGAGTGAGGGAGACACCAGAGTGAGGGAGACACCAGAGTGAGGGAGACACCAGAGTGAGGGAGACTCCAGCGTGAGGGAGACACCAGAGTGAGGGAGACTCCAGAGTGAGGGAGACACCAGAGTGAGGGAGACACCAGAGTGAGGGAGACACCAGAGTGAGGGAGACACCAGAGTGAGGGAGACACCAGAGTGAGGGAGACACCAGAGTGAGGGAGACACCAGAGTGAGGGAGACACCAGAGTGAGGGAGACACCAGAGTGAGGGAGACACCAGAGTGAGGGAGACACCAGAGTGAGGGAGACACCAGAGTGAGGGAGACACCAGAGTGAGGGAGACACCAGAGTGAGGGAGACACCAGAGTGAGGGAGACACCAGAGTGAGGGAGACACCAGAGTGAGGGAGACTCCAGAGTGTGAGGGAGACACCAGAGTGTGAGGGAGACACCAGAGTGTGAGGGAGACTCGAGAGTGAGGGAGACTCGAGAGTGAGGGAGACTCGAGAGTGAGGGAGACTCGAGAGTGAGGGAGACTCCAGCGTGAGGGAGACACCAGCGTGAGGGAGACACCAGCGTGAGGGAGACACCAGCGTGAGGGAGACACCAGAGTGAGGGAGACACCAGAGTGAGGGAGACACCAGAGTGAGGGAGACACCAGAGTGAGGGAGACACCAGAGTGAGGGAGACACCAGAGTGAGGGAGACACCAGAGTGAGGGAGACTCCAGAGTGTGAGGGAGACACCAGAGTGTGAGGGAGACACCAGAGTGTGAGGGAGACTCGAGAGTGAGGGAGACTCGAGAGTGAGGGAGACTCGAGAGTGAGGGAGACTCGAGAGTGAGGGAGACTCCAGCGTGAGGGAGACACCAGCGTGAGGGAGACACCAGCGTGAGGGAGACACCAGCGTGAAGGAGACACCAGAGTGAGGGAGACACCAGAGTGAGGGAGACACCAGAGTGAGGGAGACACCAGAGTGAGGGAGACACCAGAGTGAGGGAGACACCAGAGTGAGGGAGACACCAGAGTGAGGGAGACACCAGAGTGAGGGAGACTCCAGCGTGAGGGAGACACCAGAGTGAGGGAGACTCCAGAGTGAGGGAGACACCAGAGTGAGGGAGACACCAGAGTGAGGGAGACACCAGAGTGAGGGAGACACCAGAGTGAGGGAGACACCAGAGTGAGGGAGACACCAGAGTGAGGGAGACACCAGAGTGAGGGAGACACCAGAGTGAGGGAGACACCAGAGTGAGGGAGACACCAGAGTGAGGGAGACACCAGAGTGAGGGAGACACCAGAGTGAGGGAGACACCAGAGTGAGGGAGACACCAGAGTGAGGGAGACACCAGAGTGAGGGAGACACCAGAGTGAGGGAGACTCCAGAGTGTGAGGGAGACACCAGAGTGTGAGGGAGACACCAGAGTGTGAGGGAGACTCGAGAGTGAGGGAGACTCGAGAGTGAGGGAGACTCGAGAGTGAGGGAGACTCGAGAGTGAGGGAGACTCCAGCGTGAGGGAGACACCAGCGTGAGGGAGACACCAGCGTGAGGGAGACACCAGCGTGAGGGAGACACCAGAGTGAGGGAGACACCAGAGTGAGGGAGACACCAGAGTGAGGGAGACACCAGAGTGAGGGAGACACCAGAGTGAGGGAGACACCAGAGTGAGGGAGACACCAGAGTGAGGGAGACTCCAGAGTGTGAGGGAGACACCAGAGTGTGAGGGAGACACCAGAGTGTGAGGGAGACTCGAGAGTGAGGGAGACTCGAGAGTGAGGGAGACTCGAGAGTGAGGGAGACTCGAGAGTGAGGGAGACTCCAGCGTGAGGGAGACACCAGCGTGAGGGAGACACCAGCGTGAGGGAGACACCAGCGTGAGGGAGACACCAGAGTGAGGGAGACACCAGAGTGAGGGAGACACCAGAGTGAGGGAGACACCAGAGTGAGGGAGACACCAGAGTGAGGGAGACACCAGCGTGAGGGAGACACCAGAGTGAGGGAGACACCAGAGTGAGGGAGACACCAGAGTGAGGGAGACACCAGAGTGAGGGAGACACCAGAGTGAGGGAGACACCAGAGTGAGGGAGACACCAGAGTGAGGGAGACACCAGCGTGAGGGAGACACCAGAGTGAGGGAGACTCCAGAGTGAGGGAGACACCAGAGTGAGGGAGACACCAGAGTGAGGGAGACACCAGAGTGAGGGAGACACCAGAGTGAGGGAGACACCAGAGTGAGGGAGACACCAGAGTGAGGGAGACACCAGAGTGAGGGAGACACCAGAGTGAGGGAGACACCAGAGTGAGGGAGACACCAGAGTGAGGGAGACACCAGAGTGAGGAGCAGACACCACAGAGTGAGGGAGACACCAGAGTGAGGGAGACACCAGAGTGAGGGAGACACCAGAGTGAGGGAGACACCAGAGTGAGGGAGACACCAGAGTGAGGGAGACACCAGAGTGAGGGAGACTCCAGAGTGAGGGAGACTCCAGAGTGAGGGAGACACCAGCGTGAGGGAGACACCAGCGTGAGGGAGACACCAGAGTGAGGGAGACTCCAGAGTGAGGGAGACTCCAGAGTGAGGGAGACTCCAGAGTGAGGGAGACACCAGAGTGAGGGAGACACCAGCGTGAGGGAGACACCAGAGTGAGGGAGACACCAGAGTGAGGGAGACACCAGAGTGAGGGAGACACCAGAGTGAGGGAGACACCAGAGTGAGGGAGACACCAGAGTGAGGGAGACACCAGAGTGAGGGAGACACCAGAGTGAGGGAGACACCAGAGTGAGGGAGACACCAGAGTGAGGGAGACACCAGAGTGAGGGAGACACCAGAGTGAGGGAGACACCAGAGTGAGGGAGACACCAGAGTGAGGGAGACACCAGAGTGAGGGAGACACCAGAGTGAGGGAGACACCAGAGTGAGGGAGACACCAGAGTGAGGGAGACACCAGAGTGAGGGAGACACCAGAGTGAGGGAGACACCAGAGTGAGGGAGACACCAGAGTGAGGGAGACACCAGAGTGAGGGAGACACCAGAGTGAGGGAGACACCAGAGTGAGGGAGACACCAGAGTGAGGGAGACACCAGAGTGAGGGAGACACCAGAGTGAGGGAGACACCAGAGTGAGGGAGACACCAGAGTGAGGGAGACACCAGAGTGAGGGAGACTCCAGAGTGAGGGAGACTCCAGAGTGAGGGAGACACCAGAGTGAGGGAGACACCAGAGTGAGGGAGACACCAGAGTGAGGGAGACACCAGAGTGAGGGAGACACCAGAGTGAGGGAGACACCAGAGTGAGGGAGACACCAGAGTGAGGGAGACACCAGAGTGAGGGAGACACCAGAGTGAGGGAGACACCAGAGTGAGGGAGACACCAGAGTGAGGGAGACACCAGAGTGAGGGAGACACCAGAGTGAGGGAGACACCAGAGTGAGGGAGACACCAGAGTGAGGGAGACACCAGAGTGAGGGAGACACCAGAGTGAGGGAGACTCCAGAGTGAGGGAGACACCAGAGTGAGGGAGACTCCAGAGTGAGGGAGACTCCAGAGTGAGGGAGACTCCAGAGTGAGGGAGACTCCAGAGTGAGGGAGACACCAGAGTGAGGGAGACACCAGAGTGAGGGAGACACCAGAGTGAGGGAGACACCAGAGTGAGGGAGACACCAGAGTGAGGGAGACACCAGAGTGAGGGAGACACCAGAGAGAGCGAGACCAGAGAGAGCGAGACCAGAGAGAGCGAGACCAGAGAGAGCGAGACCAGAGAGAGCGAGACCAGAGAGAGCGAGACCAGAGAGAGCGAGACCAGAGAGAGCGAGACCAGAGAGAGCGAGACCAGAGAGAGCGAGACCAGAGAGAGGGAGACCAGAGAGAGCGAGATCAGAGAGAGGGAGACCAGAGAGAGGGAGACCAGAGATAGGGAGATAGCAGAGATACTTGTTCCATTGACACATTTTCAGAGCGGGGCATTTTTTAGCAAATTCAAGTAATTTTTGTTTGCAAGAAAGAACTTCAATGACAGTTGTTGGCTATTTACGTCTATGGAAATTGTGATAATGCTTCAATTGCGATTAATGGTGCAGCTCTTCTTTCTAGTTTTCCCCGATCCCCAGACGTCTGCAGAGCTGTGATGGTGGTGTTGATGGTTTGTGTGTTGCTGTAGATCTGGTGTCCGCACTGGGTCTGCATGTGCCACCGGGAGCAGGCGGAGCAGAGGCTGAACCATGGCAGATGACAAAGACGTGCTGAGGGATGTGTGGTACGGCCGCATCCCCGCCTGCTTCACACTGCACCAGGACCAGGTCACGGAGCGAGAGGCCGAGCCATACTATGTGAGTGCACAGATCTGACTTTTAGATATGGATATTTAAAGGAACTGTAGATACTGTGTGAAGGAGAGGTTCTGCAGGTCTTTCCTTCCTGCTACTGTCAGACTGTACAATGAGAACTTCTGAGCCTGTAGCCTAATATAGCCGTATAAAGGTTTTCTTATCAATCTTATCATTATTGGATTTTGTTAAATTGGTAACTAACAATCAATTTCTAGGGCAGATGTTTTTTCAAATACTTTTTGTTGATATTTTACAACATTCTTCTATTGAGGAACTATACATGCATTTGGTTCTATCACTAGTTTTCAAATGTATGTATTTTGGCCTCTGTTACTAACCTGGCAAGAGCCAGATTGATGATTGTGTAGAACTCTAACGCGTTCTCCGCGATATCAATCTGGGATTTCTCCCGGAGAATCCTTTCGGGGAAAGGAGGGATAAGCAGCAGAATACTTGAAGCTGATTGGGCGAAGTGACGCTGTGTGCCCGCCTACCAAGGTTTGACTTACGTAGGTAAAAATGCATAAACATCTTTGCCGTCCAGAAATGCACAAAGCGCCTCTCGCTGTTCATCTTTCAAAAAAGAAATTGGAGATTCTGCTAAAACTGACTTGATAGCCTCAGCTACGCGTCCGTCCTCCTGCGTAGCCATGTTTGTTTTGCTTCGGCCCGGCACTTCTTGCTTTCGTCAAACCCGGATATCCCGCCCTAAACCCCCAGACTGGCACGTGATTGGCTCGCACACCCAGTGGTTCGACTCGAAAAGTGTAAGCGGGAGCGGTACAAGATGTTTTCTCGAGTGTTTGTGAACTCACAAATACCGCGAGAATTCAGCTTGCAGGCAAGGTTACTCTGTTACATGATCTGTAGATCAGCTTTTACAGACAGAAAAATGAAAAAAGAGAGGACCACCCTCACTCAAGTCCATCCATCCATCCATTTTCTTCCCCTTAATCCATTTCTGGGTCGGGGGGATGGCCAGAGATGCCACCCAGTACACAGAGCACCAGCCCCTCACTGATCCTCCTGCAGGTGGTGAGTCCACAGGAGCTGAGATCTTTCAGTGGGAGCTTCAGGCAAAGTGGGGTTAAGTGTCTTGCCCAAGGACACAACGACATCAGTCATCAGTGGGAGTCGTGAAGTAGGTCTTACGGTGGGCTTGAACCCACGACCTTCAGGCTCAAATGCCAATGCTCTACCAACTGAGCTACTGTCGCCCCCTCACTCAAGTATAAAGTATATTGTACAAAGGTTACTTGTTTTAAAATAAGATTAAGACTCTGTATTATGGTCTGATTTTACTTTTTAAGTTGTTCTGTTTTAAAATACAGAGCCTGGCCATAGTCATCCGTACTCTCCGTTCAATCATCATTTCACTGCATGTAACGTCTGGGTCTGGTCCCTGTGTTAGCGATTACAATCGGTTGAATTACTCCCCACAGGCTCCGTTAGCGGCAAAGGAGATGGCTAGGCTAAATGCTAAATGCTAACAACCGACTCGGGCGCACTACGTACGTCACGGTAAACTCAGATCCAATGGTTTCAATCTGCAAAAGGAGTTAACCCCTCCCACCTGTAAACGGAGCTCAATTTAGCACCTCCAGACCTTAGTATGAAATGTCATTTGTACTATGGTGTGGTACGACCAGGCAATAAAATACATGATGTTTGAAGGAATATGAAGGAACCTCAGCCACACATTTTCAACATAACAGATGATTAATAATGCATGATTTGTTTCCTTGCTGTGTGTTCAGCTGCTGTTGCCCAGAGTGAGCTACCTGACGCTGGTCACTGACAAAGTGAAGAAACATTTCCTCAAAGTGATGAGAGCCGAGGACGTGGAGGAGATGTGGTTAGAGTACGAGGGAACGCCGCTGAAATGGTGATTATTTCATCTTAGACTGGCCTCACATGTTACACCTCACATTACATCACTTACATTACATCTACTCATTCGCATCTACTCATTTGCAAAAGCAGATATCTCCATCCATCCATTTTCTACCCTTTAATCCATTTCTGGGTCAGGGGGGTGGCAGTCAGAGATGCCACCCAAGTCTCATAGCACCAGCCCCTCACTGACCCTCTGCAGGTGGTGAGTCCACAGGAGGACGGCTGCTCTCTGAGTGTGAGCATAGCCTTGATCTTTCAGTGGGAGCTTTTGGGCAAAGTGGGGTTAAGTGTCTTGCCCAAGGACACAACGACAGCAGTCATCAGTGGGAGTCGGTGGAGAAGGTGCAGAGGTGGGAATTGAACCCACGACCTTCTGGGCTTAAGGCCAATGCTCTACCAACTGAGCTACTGCCAAAAGCAGATATCTTTTCTACGAAAATTTGTCAAAAAGTATTTCTCTGGCTACATTCAAAATGTCTTGTTTTAGGCATTAATTTTGAAATAATTTGCTCAAGAAGGGGTAACACACTTGAAATGTATGGCACTAATTTGTATCTGGCTTTTCAGAATTTACCTGGAAGGTAAAGGGTGCGGACATAGTTGTAGTATGGAGTGAAAGAAATGAATGACACGTCTTTGAGGGTCCAAAAAAGTGCTATATAAAAAATCAATGCATTAATATTTGAGTTGGCATTACTCCTAGATCTTATCTGAGTTAGCTAGCCTGGTTTAGTTGGTGCTAATTCTCATTGAGCCTGTGTGTTCGCCCTAATCGGGTTATTCTACTATAAAGCAAACGCTATGGGTGAAGCCAGCACTCGGTCAGTCCTCTCCTTCTATGGATGTGTTTTTAATCTGGAGGCTTGTCTCACATTTTCAGGAAGATATTTATCTCTATTTTAGTTGCATAGACTTATAGTGTGTGTGATCCAGTAACAGTGAATTTTAATGTTGTGTTTCAAAGGCATTATCCAATCGGAGTCCTGTTCGACCTCCACGCCTCCAGCAGCATCCTGCCCTGGAACATCACTGTGCACTTTAAGGTGACTTTTAACTCACATTTAAAGGGCCCATATCACGGTTTTTGACTTTTCTCTGCTTTAAACATGATTACAATGCTATTTGACCTTCATACACAAGCCCACAGTAGTTTATTCATTGATTCTGTCAATCTTTTGTAAGAGAGCAATCTGTCTCCTTCCCCAGTGTGAGGCACAGAAACGCTCGGGTCCACTTCAGTGACAAAAACCACACTGATGACGCGCATGACCCCGTTTGCTTTGTATTTAAAATAGTTGTTAAATACTTTTGTCAAAACGGGGTAAACAATACACGATTAGTATGCTGTTTTTTGTCAAAAATAATAAAAATAAAAATAAATTAAAAGCCGACGGGAGGTGATTGACGGATCAAAACAGCGAATCAGAGCGCACAGGCTCCGGCTCCCGAGTCCAGCGTCTGTGGTCTGGTCTCGCGGACACCACATAGAGCTGCTGTTTTTCTGCTTTTGTCAGAAACTAAAAGTGTTAGGATCACGTCAACTTGAATGAAGTGTGTTATGGGTGTAAATATGTGACACACTATTTGGCCATAAGAGGAAGAAAGCGGCTCGACTTTTTTCATCTGTTCATCTCATGGATCTATTATAAACCGGTTCATCTGCGACACTTCACTGAGACTGTTCCAGAACTACAGGGACAATGGAACTGGACTTACTCAAAAGCTGATCTGGAAACACGTTATTCCCACGGTAAAATACGTAACTCGGACCCCCTCGATCTGTAAGTAGTGACGCTAACTCGCTGTATACTTCTGTAAACTAAATAACTAGGATCTGATTGTGCATCGAGGACATAGGGCTCGATGTGACGGATTGTCATTGTTGGAAAAAGTTTATTCTTATGTCTGAAATTACTAAGTACAGGTGATAAACGACAAAAGCGTGATGCTACGTCACCGTACGGACGGGGGGAGGCGGGCTCACAGGCAGAGGAGCAGACTCTTCTCTGGATCAGCTCGTTTGAGTCGAGGTGACGTCACCTCTATACAAGAGATGGCTCTAATCTCACAAGCTTTGATTGTTGTGTGGTGTATCATACACATTAATATCACACATGTGCAGAGGACTGAGTGTGAAACATGAAGAAAAGCGTGATTTAAAGCTCGGGTACCTAACTTTCAAACCACATACATGTTGCCCTCAAAACAGTTTGCTTCTATTACTCGTTTTCACATGTGTTTATATAGCCTTGTTTCCACCAGTCCTACTCTACTCTACTCTGCCTGGTAGTAGAGTGTAGAGTGTAGAGTGTAGAGTGTAGAGTGTAGAGTGTGGAGTGTGGAGTGTGGAGTGTGGAGTGTGGAGTGTGGAGTGTGGAGTGTGGAGTGTGGAGTGTGGAGTGTGGAGTGTGGAGTGTGGAGTGTGGGAGTGTGGGAGTGTGGGAGTGTGGGAGTGTGGGAGTGTGGGAGTGTGGGAGTGTGGGAGTGTGGGAGTGTGGGAGTGTGGGAGTGTGGGAGTGTGGGAGTGTAGAGACAGGGCTTATGTTTGGTCATCAGCTTTCTCAAACAGAAAGGGAAAACTCACGGACCAGAGGTTTTGAGCTCTACAACGAGGTACAGCACAACAATTTGGTGGAGCCGAAGTTGGCTGGATGACACTGGGCTTGTTTTTATGTCAACGGCTGCTTGGGGTTAGCAATGCAGACGGCTTTTAGTTTTCGTCCTTTTTTGGGCTTCAAAACTTTGTGACTGTTTCTGTATATCTATGTAGTTTATTTCTCATTATCTTTAAGAAATTAATATTTTTGAAACGTGAGTAGATCTATATTTGAGGAGCGAGTCCTGGTTACTATAGCAACACACCGTTTACTGTTAGCATTTGGTCTTTAGCATTAGCCTTCCACAAACTGTTTTAGAGAAAAAGTGAGTAAAGATGAATAAAAACCTTATACATTACTAAGTGTGGTGAAATTTGCGGGGAATTTCTCAGAACTTCAATGGATGGGAGCAGTCAAAATGACGGCAGTGTGAGTCCTAGTCCTGAGTGTGTTGTTTGTGGTCAGGACTTTCCGGAGCGCGACCTTCTCCACTGTTCGTCCAACTCTGTGATCGAGGCCCATTTCATGTCTGGGATCAAAGAAGCCGACGCCCTCAAACACAAGAGCCAGGTGGTCAACGACATGCAGAAGAAGGACCACAAGCAGCTGTGGATGGGCCTGCAGAACGGTACCAGGAACCGGACCCAGACCAGGACCCACACTGTACTTACTCTATGTAGGACTAAATCAAATCAGAGCATAAGAAAGATCACAAGCTGGATGGGCCAGGACCTGGACCCAGACAAGGACAATGACCCCGACCATGACCCGGACCAGAACCTGGACCAGAACCTGGACCAGAACCTGGACCAGAACCCTGACCCAGAACCCATGACCCAGAACCCACGACCCAGAACCCACGACCCAGAACCCATGACCCAGAACCCATGACCCAGAACCCATGACCCAGTCCAGGACCCAGACCAAACCATGTAGCATTAAACCAGAGCTGGGCTAGAACAACTGGAGTAGAACCTGAATAAATTGATAAATCTAATTGCTAAATGATCCCCATTTTCTGCTATAGACTTTTCTTATTGCTATATTTACTGTATGCCTCTGTGTGTCTGTGTGTCTGTGTGTGTGTTAGAGTTTCGTTCGGGCCTGAAAAATGAAGCCCGACCCGGCCCGAGCCCGCTAATGTTAAGCCCGAGCCCGTATAAGCCCGACCAATGAACGCTGTATAACAGGCCCGAGCCCGACAGAACCCGACACATCTGATTTCCCGTTGTACGCACTCACCTTCCAATTGCAAGTTTAGTCTCCACTTTTGAATTTGTTTTGTCTCCACTTGATCCATTTCTACTATTGTTCCTGTTCGCTGTTGACCACAGCATTCAGCAGGAGACACGGGGATGATGCGTTCACGGCTCGCTGCTGCTGTAGGACACGCTGGTTACGGTGTCATTAATATATTAACTTTTTTTAATAACTTGTTGTCAATCAACGGACATTGTTATTAAAATATATATATATATTTTAAATCATTATGTATAAAAATCATTTAAAAATAATTATAATAATGATAAAAAAGAAACATATATTTAAAAAAAGAAGCCCGAGCCCGGCACGAACCCGACAGCTGAGCTCCAAATGAGGCCCGAGCCCGGCCTGAACTCAGGTCGGGCCTCGGGCCTGCTCGGGCTCGGGCTGAAAAGCGAAACTCTAGTGTGTGTGTGTGTGTGTGTGTGTGCGCGAAAGGTAGTGTGTGTGTTGTTTGTCTCTGTGTGTGTGAGCGAAAGAGAGTAGAGCTTTGAACACTTGTGCTTTCCTCTGAACATGTTTATGGGCCCGAGAGCAGCTATCAGAGCGATGTCAGAGGGCGAATGAAGCTGCAGACCTTGAATTCATATAGTTCACAATCCTATAGTCCCCTCAGATCTTTCCCAGCATGCCTCAGCTCCTCATGCACCAGTGCATGCGGCCGCCCTGACCCTCTGCCCACCTCCAGCCCACCTCCAGAGCTGTTAATGTGTTTGGAGCAGGTCATATTTAGCACTGGGAAGCTCTGAAGTGACACATTCTTCCAGCCTGTAAAGATCAAACACGCCGTTCACACTTGGTCTGCTGCAACACATGTTTGAGCAACTCGCTAAATAGCACTGAGCGGGAGGTCGATACACATTTCTGCATGTGCTTTCTCTCTCTCTCTGGTCTCTATTCTCTCGTGAGTCTCTCTCTCTCGCTCTCGCTGTCTCTCTGGTCTCTTTCTGGTCTCTCTCTGTGTCACGTCTCTTTCTGATGTCTCTCTGACGTCTCTCTCTGGTCTCACTATGGTCTCACTCTTTCTCTCTGGTCTTTCTCCAGTCTCTCCCTGGTCTCTCTCTGGTCTCTCTCTGGGCTCTCTGGTCTCTCTCTGGTCTCACTCGCTGGTCTCTCTTTGTTCCTGGGTGCAGTATTTTTTTTTGACACGCACCTGTCTTCCCCGTGGTGAGACACTGGTCCAAACAACACACCAATGTTTCCCATAGCACAGGTTTGCAGTGTGAGAGATCTCTGCCAATGTCTGTGTTTGTGTTTCCAGATAAGTTTGACCAGTTCTGGGCCATGAACAGGAAGCTGATGGAGTATTCCACCGAGGACGGCGGGTTTAGATACATCCCCTTCAGGATATACCAGGTACTGCACTCTTGTACTGCTGCTACATATGAGATACTGCTGAGTTCTTCTGCGTTTACGAAGTATCTGGAGAGCTGTAACAGAAGTAGAGGACATGACAAGGGATCTTTAAACACGTTTGTATAGTTAAAGCTGGGGTACGTAACTTTCAAACCACAAATACAGAAACTGACATGTAATAGTTCCTGTCTCTTAAACAGTTTTTCAAAAATCACTAGTTTTCTCATGCAATCACAGTGGTGATAAACTACTACTGTAGCCACAGCTGCCCTGGGGCACACTGACAGAAGCGAGGCAACCAGTCTGTGCCATCGGCCCCTCCCAACACACACACACACACACACACGACTCATTCTAATGTGGGTGAAGTGTCTTGCCCAAGGACACAACCACAGTTTGGCACTTTACAGCCGCCCCACTGTCGCACCTTGTGTTCCCAAGCTTAGTTTCAGAGGTCTGACGGGATCTGGCTTTTTCATACAAGTATGGCCACAAACTTTGGCATTTTTCACATCAGCTTTTTCAGACAGAAAAGTGAAAAACAAGAGAGGTCCACCTTCACTCAGCCCAAAAAGTCAAACAGTGACTCACGGGACTCTTCCTTTCATAAAAGATGAAGACAGCAGGTTGTGGTCGGATTTGTTCACAACATTTTACTTTTATAAGCTTGTTTCTATTGAGACAAACTCTTCATGTATTATTTATGGGCAAAAAGTTAAGAACGTCAGCTATAATGATTTTTCAAACACTTTGTAAAATAAAGATAGTAACACTTTAGTTTAGCCTTCACTAAATAACAGCTAATTAGTTTACCATGTAAAGCTCTTTGGGTGACCTAGGCCTGTGAAATGCACTATATACTGTAAATATAGATTACTTACTTAGATACCCTAGCTCTAACCCCACCTCCAACCCTAACCCTAACCCTAACTCTTTCACTAAACCCACACGGGAAAGTGTCAGTTAGTAGTTAGTTAGCTGGTAAATAAGTGCTAAATAAATACCAAGAGCTAATTAACCATCACTTATACACTAATTAGCTCTACATTAATGAGGGCTAATCTAAAGTGACTGGTCTCTCTCTGGGCTGTCTCTCTCTGGTCTCTCTCTGGTGTCTCCCTGGTCTGTCTCTCCCTGGGCTGTCTCTCTCTGGTCTGTCTCTCGTCTGTCTCTCTCTGGTGTCTCCCTGGTCTGTCTCTCCCTGGTCTGTCTCTGGTCTGTCTCTGGTCTGTCTCTCTCTGGTGTCTCCCTGGTCTGTCTCTCCCTGGGCTGTCTCTCTCTGGTCTGTCTCTGGTCTGTCTCTCTCTGGTGTCTCCCTGGTCTGTCTCTCCCTGGGCTGTCTCTCTCTGGTCTGTCTCTCTCTGGTGTCTCCCTGGTCTGTCTCTCCCTGGGCTGTCTCTCTCTGGTCTGTCTCTGGTCTGTCTCTCTCTGGTGTCTCTCTGGTGTCTCCCTGGTCTGTCTCTCTCTAGTCTGTCTCTTTCTCTGGCTTTGGTCTGTCTTTCTCTGGTCTCTCTTTCTAATCTAAAGTTAAAAAAATAAACACATGCAGGCCCATGAGCTTTAGCAAATAAAATTGTAACAGATAAGTCTGAAGCGTATTGAGATTTTCAAATGTGCTCTTTATGTATAAACTATGGATGCTTTTTGGTCATCAAAAATATAAATAATAGTTGAATTATCCATGTATGTCCAGTAGGGGGAGCCAAAGTCTCTCTAATAGTGTCTCTACTGTCTCTGCTCAGATCTCATCACATTTCAAAGGCCACACAAAGCACTTGAGACTTTGACTTTGAGACCAGATGAAGAATTAACCGTGTTCACCTGATGACTATAAACAAAACAAACACGCATCGACAATTTAGGTTAGAGAAATATTTTACATGTTAATAATTTTCATTGTGTGTCTTAGAGCAGTGGATCCTGTTTTGTCCTGTGTACTCTCTTGACACAGGGCAACATTTATCAACATTTATGGTCATTGGACATCCACCCCTTATGGACCAAAGGCTCTTTGTGGTCTCTCTCTAGTCTCCCGCTCTGGTCTTTCTCTCTAGTCTCTTTCTAGTCTCTCTCTGGTCTCTCTCTGGTCTCTCTCTGCTCTATCCCTGGTCTCTCTGTCTCTCTGTCTCTCTCTGCTCTTTCTCTGCTCTTTTTTTCTGGTCTCTCTCTGGTCTCTCTCTCTGGTCTTTGGTCTCTCTCTGCTCTCTCCCTGGTCTCTCTCTGGTCTTTCTCTTGTCTTTCTCTGATCTCTCCCTGGTCTGTCTCTCTGGTCTTTCTCTTGTCTTTCTCTGGTCTCTCCCTGGTTGAATGATCCAGGACATTTGACATCCATCAACATTTATGGACATTGGTCTTCCACTCAGGGCGACAGTAGCTCAGTTGGTAGAGCATTGGCCTTTGGGCCTGAAGGTCGTGGGTTCGAGCCCACCGTAAGACCTACTTCACGACTCCCACTGATGACTGCTGTCGTTGTGTCCTTGGGCAAGACACTTAACCCTACTTTGCCCAAAGCCCCAACTGAAAGATCTCAGCTCCTGTGGACTCACCACCTGCAGGAGGATCAGTGAGGGGCTGGTGCTCTGTGGACTGGGTGCAGCTCTGACTGCCGCCCCCCCGACCCAGAAATGGATTAAGGGGAAGAAAATGGATGGATGGATGGGTCTTCCACTCCTTATGAACCAATGGCTCTGTGGTTTTTATGCATTTGCAAATCGTCAACTTTGTACAGTCCTCAAAGATAACTGCTGTTGTGACTTAGAGCGATACTAAAATACATTGAATTGATAAAGCGGCCTCCAATACCAAGGTCTCTATTGTTTCCATGATTCTTTTGGGGGAAAGATTGTGAATAACTCGTCTTTTGCATTTTTTACCATTTTTAAATTAGTTGTATGTGTTTGTATTGATGGTTATTATCCATCCATCTGATACTGCCATTCACTAGTCACTTTACCTGTTGATATTATTACTGATGTTTATTCTGCTCTTATTCCACGGCTCCTCACAGCAGCAGTAGAACGCTCCATTGATTTGAATGTAATTTCAAAACGTTCTACCGGTCATTATTTTCTATAACGGACCTCTCAAAACAATAATGGCCGCTGCCCTTTGGCAACGCACCCTCTGCTTGTAATTCAGATGTGTAGATTACTCCGCAAGTAGTTCCAGACACTCCGGAGCTAGCCACGCTCAATAAACGCAAATGCCAGTCAATCAACACACTTAAATGTTAATCGGAGAATACATTATATACATTGTTAATGCACGTGCACAGAGGTTTTCAGAAGTATCTGTTAAGGTTTTCATGACAAAAATACTGTTTAAATGCGAGAAAAAGCAATCCCGAAAAACCCAGAAGTAGATTCCGGGATATTTTAGCAACATTTGCAGAAGATCGAATTATGGATTTAGGTTAAGTTTATGTTTGGGTTGCTCACCGCTGATGTTCAGAATTCTTTGTTCAGTTTTCATACAGTTCGAGAGAGTTCTAGTTTGGAAGTTGCCAGCCTAACTGTTACTCACATAGCCACGGGAAAACCTTTGGGAACTATTTCATTTTCTGTCATTAAATAAACCTTTCAGAATTCCTGACCTGCGTAATATACATTATCCCTCACATATTCTCCGCTACTAAAGTACAATATACACATCTGTAAATACCTCTGATTCACGTGCAATTATAGCTCCAGAGTTTATTTTATTTTATTCTATTTTACCATCGTTTTACCTTATTTTAATTATATTGTCTTTTATCTATTTAATGTGAACAATCTGAGTGCTTTTATTTCCTCCTTTCTCTGCTGTAATGTGCGCAACAACGACACTGAAATTTCTCCACTGTGAGACAAATAAAGGAATATCGTATCTTATTATTAGTTTTCTCGCTCTTACTTTCGATTCAAACAATAGATGTTGAGTATGAGTGTATTTGGTATGACACGCCTGACATGAGCGTCTTCCTTCTCCGCGGAGGCTGAATCCAGACTGACTCAGTGTTGACATAAACATGGTAATCCTGCTCGAGTGTTTCCAGCGTCGTCCATTCTCCGGCGCGGCGTGTCGTAACAGCCTTCTGCTCTTGCACTTGTGAAACCGGGGCTTTTTCTGACATTTTCACCTCCATTAGAGCTGGGTCTGTGCCAGAGACTTGTCCGGACACGACTGCAAAACAAATGTCAGACAGCGTTTGGTCACAGGATTAAAGGAGACGTGTTGTGCAAAAGGTTCTCTCCGTGTCCCAATGCCGTGTCCTCATCAAACACAGACCTGGAGACAATTTGAGCTGCAGCCACGCTCATATCACAGACCTCAACTGGAGCATTGCAATATCTAATTCAATAATTATCAGTTTCACTTTTGTAAAACAAGCAAGAGAGAGAGACGAGAGATGAGAGAGAGAGCCCGGAGAGATGAGAGAGAGAGAGATGTGACAGAGAGAGGGAGAGAAAGAGAGAGAGCCCAGAGAGATGAGAGAGAGGGAGAGAATGTGATGGAGAGAAAGAGATGTGACAGACAGAGATATGACTGTGACAGAGAAAGAGAGAGATGTGACAGAGAGAGAGAGATGACAAGAGATGAGAGAGGGACAAGAGAGGGGAGAGAGAGGGATGAGAGAAAAGGGGACGAGAGTCATATTTTCCTTAATGTCTTTGAATAATAAGATGGACATGACTCGCAATATATCCCAGAATCTGATCACAATAATACTTTCTGTGTCGCAGTGTGTTTAGCTGCAGTAATATTGAATTGTGGCCCCAAATATTATTATTATCGAATCATCACATTTTCGCCAATTCCCACCTCTATCGCCGAACAGTTGCGCTTCAAAGTAAGTGCCGTTATATCAGGAGTGGACTGAGTGAGTGCTAACTTTGTGTTTGGCTAATGCTGATTTGAACATACGCTAGCTGGATGGAACCAATGTCTTTATATGGGTATTTGTTCCAAGTCCTGAACCGGTCCTGGACTGGTTTTATGCTTATAAATCAGTTTTTTTGTTT